CAGGGGTAATTTTTTTTGCTTTGCAATACGCTAAGGAGGAGCCAAAAGGAGTTCTTTTGATAGGTTATTGTTAGGCTTGAGCGAGAGTAACAAAAATGAGGAATGTGATTTAATTAGAGAAGAATAAAATTAAATTTAGAGGAGTAATTATTGGGGACAGGCAGGGAAAAGATGAGGGAAACGAGCTGACTGCGGCATTACACCGCGAGCAGGCGCGTGGTGCTGACCAAAGGGAGACGTGGTAACGAGACGGCACTTCTTTCTTCAGAAAATAAATAGAAGTTAATAGTCTGATACTTTTAAAGAAAGAATACCAGTGTTGGGCTCAAATTTATGCTTTCTGAATCACTCCTGTGAGAAATTAAAGCAAAAAGCCCATAAAACAGACTAGAAGAGACAGCAACTCCTGCTAGAGCAGTTTCAGTGGAATAAATTTGTGGTACTGCCACAAGTGGGCAGAAATTTGACCAAAATTGATCAATTTGATAAAGCTGCCAATGCAGAAAGAAAAAAAAAAAAAAAAGATCACCTCCTTCCTCGCTTTTCTAAGCCCAATCCTCAGACAAGTGCAGCCACTTCGGGGCCCAGGCTCCCTTCTCAGGCCATCCCAGCGCAGACCAGTCTCAAACCCATTTCCAAGCCTCTCTGCGAATGCGGCTCTTCGGCTGCACGTACATTGCTGCCACGCAGGAAAAACAGCAACAGATCTTAAACCTCTTCATTAATCTCTAAAGTTTATGTTACCTTAAAGTTAAGAGACTTCAGCAGCAATCCTAAAGCAAGGAGCATCACTGGAAAGGAAAAGACCTTTCCTGTCCCTACAAACACGGCTCTCAATGTGCAGAGATAGGTAAAACCTGTTGTCTTTGCTTCTAAAGTCACTGTCATACACACGCCAGACTGTCTGTAATTATAGTTTGTGACTGTGCACATAAATACTACTTTAAACATTTGGCCACAAGAGCTATGCAAATGGGTTTTTTTTCTTTTGGATATAGACCCAGAGAAGTGGGTAATATATGAAATTTCATTATGTAATATGTGGATTGCATTAACCACACTCAAGTTTCAGCATGGATTTTCTAGCTGTCATAAATAATATGTAAATCTGCATAGCTAGCTGTTTTAAGAAGGCATGTGGTGGCCTCTAGTGACGAATGCAGATATACACAATATGTCCCTGTTCTAAATGGCCTGGAAAGCAGTGATACGCTTAAGCATTATCACAGGACCCACGACTTTTGCCACATATTCACACGTTCACAAAAGCTCGGCAAATACTGGCAATTTTGCTGCCACATCTGGGAAAAACGTTAAGATTCGCCAGTTCACTGGTTCGCTCAGCACGGAATTTTTACAAGCTAAAAATCCCGCTGGGTAGCCCTTCAGATTACACTAAAGGGGATATTTATGATACTTTCAGGGGTGGAAAAAAGAGTAGGTTCACTTGTATGGCCTGGAGCTGTTATTGTTGGCCCGAGAATCCGAATCGATTTGAAGAGAGCAGCAAGGACAGGAAAGGCAGCTCCTGACCTTCACTGCAGCCTGTGGTTAGGGAGGATGCATCCCAGCCCCTGTGGCATCACGTCCCTGAGACCTGGCCCTCTCCTGCAAGGCCCAGCCCATTTACAGCCAAGTTTTCAATTTACCTCTCTGGTCAAAACTCCCAGCAGCAAAGGCACCAGGTGAACTGCTTTGCCGAGGAAGATACATTCGCTTTGGAAGAAAGACAAAACGGAGATGGGAGTTAGGAAAATATCTATATGTGAGCAACGCTGCGCAAGATCTCGCACTGGAAATGTCCACGATTAAGTGCAGCCAGCTGATCTAAGGACATGATCTGCATGATCTGCACATGATCTGGTCCTTTCTTCTCTGTTCATGGGTCTTTTTGCAGCTTGGCAAAGCACCTACCACTGAAGAACCTACATCTTCTCCAATGCCAACACGGAGCAGACATTCCTCTTCCAGAGAATCCCTGTATGGTTCCCATGCTGCGGCTCCCAGATACGAGAGAGCAGAACGGGACACGGAGCACGAAGGGAGAGCTTCTCCCACACAGGGCAGGTGCCTCCGTGCCCAAGGAAGCCACGGGCCTACCCCACGCGCCGCTCGGGACCCAGGCGTGTGCGGAGGCTGCAGCCTTTGCACTAACAAACGGTTTGTTTTCCGGGTGGAGATTGTCCCAGGTATTCTTTTTTATTCATCCCACAATGCAAATATTTAATGGAAAATATTTTTGGGGAAAAAAAAAAGGTATTTAAAACTCTGTATTTCTACATCTTTATCTTTTAACTAAACTTGCTATAAGTACACCAATAATTTACAGAGTTGTCCGTTTTCCATGTGTATTCACGGCAGCTGCCTCCTGGCTTCATCAGTGAAAAGCAGACTGAGAACAACAAAACACAGCCACAAACAGGCATCTCCTTGCAGCCGACCAGCCACTGAGAGCTACGACAAACACGCTCTGAAACGCAACACTCCGATTCCCAAATTAGGGCTAAGGGAAAGGGCTGATCGCCTGCAGAAGCCAAGGGAAAAGCATTAAGTTACAGCTCGGAGTTGCATAAAGGCAGAGGCAGAGCCGGGTGTGTCCGTCTCCCCTGAACTGCCCTGCACAGTGAGCGGCGGCGGTGACTAAGACTCAATGGCACGACCCTTATCCCAATGCTGCACTGCTTATCTGTGCTCTACTGTGCATTAAACTGCTCTTGCACGGGTGAGGGTTCCTCATGAACTGAACGGTTTAGGTGGCTCTGAACGGGCTGCGTTTGCAGCACCCAGTTCGGACCGTGGTTCCCTGGAGGGAAATGCTCTGCTGGTATCTACAGGCTGTTCTGTAGAGTATTTCTGGAGTTCCTTAAGAGCTATTTAGAATATTTGCTGTTACAGTGATTAGTCCACACGTTTGGACAAAGACATCCATGCTGTTTTGCCTCTACCATTCAAATATGTGAAAGTTAGCATTAATTTAGCATCACATGCTTTTTTGATTGTTCTTTTTTGATATTTAAACTATGTAGCTGTTTATCCATTTAGGGGCGGGATAGCTGCAAGTACAAAGCTTGAGAATTAGGCCCAAAGAAGCCAATCTCGAGCTTTGCTCACATTTGTTATGTCACAAAGCAAAATGCTAAATAAGTTACAGGGAACTACGGCCAGACAGGTAGGAACCGAAAGGCGCAGCCAGAAGAAGGAACTTCAGCCCCGTCTCTAACAGCTTTGCCCTACCTGCTCTATTGATTCTTACTCAGTCTGAGTATTTTTAATAAATAAAAGACCCGCCTTGAGTTCCTATAGTTACAATCCAAATAACCTGGCTCATGTACTTTGGTTTTAAGTGTCATAAATATTTTCCTGTCATTTACACTTGGCAGTTCCACCTCAAAAAGCTCAAGGTCCACAGGCAATTCATGCAGACAACCAGCATCTTCCTGCATGGACTGTTCTGCCCTGCACGCTGCTCAGTTTGCTTTGGGACACGAATTTGGGAACAGCTGAACGTGTCAGCAGCAATTTGCGCTGCCCTGGTGCTGTTTAGAATAATCTGCAGGCAACTTTATTCTAAGCCAAAGAGCAACCAGGGCTTTGAAAGCTTAGCGGTCCTGGTTTCCTCCTGCTCCAGGCTTCGTGGTTCTGGGAAACAAGCAGCTCCCGCCACGACAGGCCCCACAGCGCAGTGTGTCATTGATTCCTCGCCTCGAGGTCTGAAACCAGCGTGCAGAGCAGCTGTCTTCCCCCAGCACAAACGACACGTGTTAATTGTTCTACCCCAGCATCTCTGCATTAATAATACACTACGGTGCTGTAAGCGCAGCGCCCCGAGGGCGGCATCGGCCCCGTGCTGCAGCGCGCCCCGCTGCCCGCTCTCCGGCGGTGCCGGGACCCTCAGCACTTCCCGTCCTCCCGCTTCCCGGTCTCTCTGGTGGTATCTCACTGCTGGACACGCTCCTCAGCTTGGAGTGTGGGCACTATGAGAAACAAGACGCCAGTTTGTCAGACGCGCTGAGCACAGGCAGCCGGCTGCTGTTCCTGCACGCACCCTCTCGCTCCCTGGGGAACAGCCCAGAGCGAAGGGACTTCTGCACAGGCAACTCCAGCGCTTCAGATGCTCCCAGAGAGGGGAGGGCTTGCAGAAGTGTCCCCCTCCTGAACCCCGGAGCGTGACAGCTCCTGACAGTGGCTTCTGCAGAGAATCTCCTCACTCCAGAAAGCTGCTTTCGAATGTAGAGGCCAGGCGAGCTCTGAAATGTCCAGCACCACTGCATAGAAATTCTCACTGCTTTGTCCAAAGCAATGCCATTTCTGTCCAACTGCAGCTGCTCCTAAAGCCCGTTCACCCTGCAGGGGTTTCTGTCCTCAAGTGAGTGGATATTCAGTGCAGATTCCCTGCGCTGTTCACTTCCTCGTCACAGCATGAGCAGCATTCTGGGCTTCCTGTAACATCAATGCGGTGCTTATAAATGCCACCCTTCTAATAATTTATAAAGTCCTTCACTGGGCTGAGGTGCAGAGTACTGCTTGCTCAACAGAAATATCTATTTGCTTGTAAATGTACATAATTTAAGTCCTTTGTCACATATAAGCATCTCTCAATTTCAGGAACTGCACATGGGAGTAGGAATCTAGATGCTCATTCAAAAGCCCCACGCAAGCTGCAGCCGCAGGTAAACACTTCTAAATCATTCAACAGCTTCTTTGTGGTTTAGGCTTGATTCAAAATAATCCCCGGGAAAGCCCAAGTACGTGAGGAGCCTCCTCAAAGGCAGCTCAGCAGAGTGACCCCCGGCACAACACAGCGTGCGGGGGCAATATCCTGCATCTTGTTTGCGCTGACACCGGTTGCACTGTGCGTCAACAAGGTGGGGTTTACAACTGCTGCGCTTCCTCCTTGGGAAGCCGTATAAAGGTTTACAGGGCAGACACTGCTCTTCACTCGGGCTCTCCCGGTTGCGCAGACGTCGCTGTTTCATCGGAGACAAAGCAGAGAGCCACAAATGGCCTTTTCCAACCAGAGCTTCCAGTGGGGCTCGGGCTCGCACGCCCACCCTCCTGCTCCCAGCGTCAGTGGTTTAACCGTCAGGAGAACGGCTGTCCAGAAATTTCAAGCCCCCAGTGTCTACGGGGGAGCAGGCGGCTACGGCACCCGCATATCCACCAGCAGCAGCTACGGACCAGGCTCGGGGGCAAAATTCGGCAGCAGCTTCCAGCTGAACCTTGCTGGTAACGATGAGCTGCTCACCGGTAACGAGAAGGCAACCATGCAAAACCTCAACGACCGCCTGGCCTCGTACCTGGAGAAGGTGCGAGCCCTGGAAAAGGCCAACTCCCACATCGAGAGGCAGATCAAGGAGTACTACGAGAAGAACTCCTCCGTGCTGAGTCGTGACCATAGCCCGTACTTCCAAATCATCGAAGAGCTCCGAAATAAGGTAAGAAATCGTATCATCAGCTATAAATATATGAATTTCAAGTATTTGGGGGGAAAAAAAGGATAATAATCTACGTGAATAAAATTTAAATTTCAATTTGTAATTGTCTCACTTAAGAAAACAGATTTTCAGACTTTTACGTTTTTGGCAGCCAGGAGAGCAGAGATATAACCTGCAATTACTCAGAATTTCAGAATACTCTAATCTGAATTTCTGCTTTGGAGCCTGAGAGGAGAAAATGACTGATACCATTAAAATCCCAAGCTCTGTTTTCCATTGCATAATTTCCTCCAATTTGCCTGAATACTTTAAATTGACTGCATTGTTTTATACACATATTATATCTTTGTGTAATCAGTGATTTCCTTTTCTTCCCAGCCGTTAACCAGGCATTAAATGAAAATGTTTCATAGTTCCATGTGTAAGGTGCCATCTGCCAAAGACCTCAGACCGCAAATATCTGAGAATCGATCATGTCTTATAATCTTATCTGAAAAGGTGGATGAGGGAGGAAGTAGTTTAATGACTATGACGGTGATCAGATGAAGACGGGTTTTTATTTACAGTAAATTAGAGAGACTTTGTCCTCTACGTATGATAAACCTGGCCTAAAGCCAAAATCCAGAGACTTTATATGCGGAAAAGAGGTCATTTCTTCCAAATGTTCAGAACTGGAGACTCCCAAATGTCCAAAAAAGCAACCAACCCCTGCTTGAGACAGTAAATTACCATGAGAATAAATAATCTATTGCCACAGCAGTTTATAAGTGTAAAATAATCGTGTCTTCTGTAACTGTGAAGAATCTATTAGCTTTGTCTGCTAATCCCACCACCAATGAGTCATGCCTTTAACCATTCTTTTTCAGATTGGTGTTGCACAGATGGAAAATGCGAGGCTGGTCCTGCAGATTGACAATGCCAAACTGGCTGCTGACGATTTTAGAATTAAGTAAGTTCCATTTGCATTCCACACATTCTTTTTTATGCCCTTGTTATCCAGGAAAGCCTCTAGGCACCCAGTTTCATTTTTTGAGGGAGGAAAAATAAATGTTATCGATGAGCTAAAATCCCTTTTACAAGGCACAATTAAATAGCACACAGAAGAGGTGCACTGTGCAAATGTCATTTGCTCCGTTCCCTTGAAACATCCCACATGCTACTTACGTAGGCCAAATTGGTACTTTGCCTTGAAAATTCGCTCTTAGAATCAAACTTTGAGGCAAAGCTTTCCTAAAGAAAAAGTAGTAAAAGAAAACTTGGAGGACTAAGGCTGTGGTCACTCTTCATTCCAAGGTTTCTTCAGCCAGTTCATTCTGATCCTCATTTTACAGGTTTGAGAACGAGCACTTGCTCTTGCAGAGTGTACAGAGCGACATTAATGGACTGCTCCGAGTCCGCGACGACTTGACCTTGACAAAATCTGACCTGGAGTCACAGATTGAAAGTGTGAATGAAGAAATAATGTTTCTTAAGAAAAGCCACGAGGAGGTGAGAGCCGCAGAACATCATCCCATAGAAATGCATAAATTCAGCTCCGCTAGGAATAATGAAACTTTCATAGTTCACTTGAAAGAATATGATGCTTAGGGTGGGATTCGGGGCAAGATGAACACATGAAAAGGCAGCTTCCTGCGTGAATGCTATGTGTTGTTTGGTTATGGATCTGCTGGAGGTCTAAGCTCAAGCTCTTATCACTCCTTTAGCATCACATTTGCCATTTAAAGCCCTATAAAGAAAGTTAATCGACCACTACTCCTTCCCTCTTTTCAAGCAAAGACACAGACAGCTCCAGAATTTAAGGAATAAAGGTTTTCCTTAAGAATAGTATGTATTTTATGAGTTGTTACACAAAAGCATGCAGATGGGAACCATGACATCTATAATCCTTTTGTAGATTGAGCCCTGAGGAAATCACCTTTTTATAATATGTTTATACATTTTCTAAGATTTCTTGCCTCGAAATAAGTAATATTTTCTAACATAAGATGCAATATGCAATATTTATGAGGGGATTGGGTTGTTTTACCCTGAGGTGCTATTTAATAATTAAGAACTATTTCTGTGGACCGTGAATTTCCGATATTGAGGACTAGCAGCTCACTTGAAGCGATGCTAACACAAGCCTCGCTGTTGCAGGAAGTTCACAGCCTGCAAAAGCAGGTGGGTGGTTCCGTTAACGTCGAGGTGGACGCTGCTCCGAGTATCAATCTTGCCACTATTATGGAAAATATGAGACGGCAATATGAAGAAATGGCAGAGAAGAACCGCGAAGAAGCCAAGGAACGGTTTGAAAAGCAGGTAATGTTCAGCTACCTAAACACAGCAGGATCCTCTACCGTGTCTGGTTCTGGGTGACGGTCCCTTGGCTTGTTGTGTTTCAGACAGAAGAACTGAACCAGGAAGTCGCGATCAATATCGAGCAGCTGCAAAGCCAAAGGACAGAGATCACCGAACGGAGACAGATCTTCCAGGGCCTGGAGATAGAACTGCAATCCCAGCTTAACATGGTAAATCATCAGCAATGCTTAAAATCAGCAAGCGTGCTTAGTAGATAATTACACCGACAAATATAGAAACCATGAGTTTTTTCAGTCTACAAGCAATTTTGACATAAAGATACATCCTCTTGATAATGCAGCGTCTAAAACCTCCTGTTCTTTGCCTCGGCTATAGAAAAAGGCTCTAGAAGACACCCTGGCGGAAACGGAGGCCCGCTACAGCCAGCAGCTAGCTCAAATTCAGGCCCTGATCGCCAGCCTGGAGGCTCAGCTGCGGCAAATCCGCGCGGACATGGCAGCTCAGTGCGACGAGTACGCGGCGCTGCTGGACATCAAGACGCGCCTGGAGATGGAGATCGCCACGTACCGTCGCCTGCTGGAAGGGGAGGACAGCGGGTAAGGCCCCCAGGACGAGCTGCATGTTGCTCGGCTGCTCCGTTTCATCTCACGGCTGTCTTTAATAGAAATAGTATTTTACGTCTTTGGTAAAATTTGTGTTTTTAATGTATACTTTGCACAGGCATTTCCAAATGGATATAGCTACAGAAGAGACTGAAAAAGGTATGTCACACTATATTCTATATATAGAACTTCTGTATTTTTGGTGGCTTCTTTTGAAATGTTACGGAATTAATTAGTCTGGCATGAAGCAAGTAACACAGTTTCACAGTAAATATCCAATAAGTGAAATTTTATGCCAAGAGAAGATGCTTTATGTATATAACTCAGGTGCCCAGATTAAAACCCTAGGCTCGTTACAAGCCAACAGAATTACCGAATGACTCTCTGGAGGCCTTCAGAAGCATCTACTCCTTTCCACTGACCACACAGGTCCCTAAGTACACCGTGTAATTTTAAAATATCCCTTTCGGTGTAAGAATATTTCTAGCTTTTAGATGTACCAAGTTGGAGTTATTCCAGGGAGGTCCTTATATCCCACATGCTGCATGGGGAACAGCAGCAGCACCTGAATCCCCATGGAGCAGTCATGCAGTGACAGGTCGCCCGTCCGTATCCTTTAGCTCCTGGCACTGCTGCTCGTCTCCAGTGATAATACTCTGTCAATGTGCATTTAGCTAATTCACTGTTTCGCTTTATTAACAGAATCAAGTAAAATTAAGAAGATCAAGACAATTGTTGAGGAGGTGGTGGACGGCAAGGTGGTCTCCTCGGAGGTCAGGGAGATCGAGGAGAAGATCTAACCAGCCCAGCGCGGAGGCGGCCACCCTCGAGCTCCCTGCAGCTCCTGCCAGAGCGACACGAGCACGGGGCCTTGATCTAACTCTTGTGAAAGCAGCAAAGGTTGAAACCTGTCAGAGCAGCAAATGCCAAACTTCCTACTTCTTCTTTTTCTTCAGTGCAAATATGAATAAAAATAATGTTTTCTATCACTAGGTTACAAAGGACAAATACCCTTTGAACAGTTTGGGGTTTGCTTACGCAGTGATTAGATGAAAAAATAGAAATCAGTATTTTTATAAATGTGGTATTATTTCCAAGATAGATAAAAACTGTATCATAAGTTTGAAATACTGACATTTTAAAAACACCGAGGCAATGTTTACCAGTGTTTTTCAGAAACTCAAAGAAATGATTTTGCTCCTGTACTTAACAGGCTTTTAATGGTAGTCAACTCTTGTGAAGGCACCATGAGAACCTTCTCTTCATTTCTTCAGATTAGTCATTTCAGTGTCTGGTTCATTAAGTTTTCTCAGGCTTTCAATATATTCATAGATGAAAAGTTTAAGAAGGTATCTTCTGAAGAAACCAAACTGCAATCCAAGGTGTTGCAATCCAGCTTCTTCTCTTCTGTTAATGATAGTTGAACTATCATTCAAATGCAATGCAGCTTCACTTCAGTAAAAACTGATTTTCTAATAAATCACAATTGTCTATTTGGATCATCATATATTAAAATACAAAATTTAAGAAGCCATTTTATTCTTTTGCATTCTCTGTGATTTTTTTGATCACCAGGGGCTAACCAAGAAAGATAACTTATCGATAAGAATACATTTTGCCTATTAAACCTCTCTCGATTAATAACTGCACGTAACCTTTCCTGCAAAACACAAGTGCCCCTCCAGCCCTTCAGTCCAAGGAGTCAACATTTTCCTCTTGACAACATCAACACAAAAGCTGTCCCTTTTGAAATGTCATTTGTCCAGTCTGTTATTGACCGCACATAAACAGCTACCAACTAAAATAACCATTAGCTTTCACAGTAATGAGTCCCTGACTCCAAGTGATCAATACATGCCCATATGAATGTTTGCTTAAATCTCTGCGCTACCACTCATAAACAGTCCTGTCAGGAAGAACCAGCCATGCTGATGGATGCAGATAAAACCATATTCCATGCCTTACAGATAGGATCCAGTGCCTGAAGGTTTAGGACAGAAGATGAAGTTGAAAGGGTCAGTATAATCCATTATATTTTATGGTTTCATATTAACGATGAACAAGTCTCTGATGGTCCCTAAGTCTCTTCATGTGCTTTTGCGGAGCGTTCTTGCTTCCTAACCAGCCCCCAGCAGTGCTCACCTGGCAGAGGTTCACTAAAACATGTCATGGGAGTATTAGGAAGAGAAATCTTTTTTGACAGGCACACAGGAAGTTTGCTTCGAAATGGATCGTGCTACAGCCCCAGGCAAACTTCTACAGCAATAACCCCAAAGCAGGAAGGGGGTGCACAGGTAACGACAAAAAACATTATTTAGGATGGATTTAAATGTGAGAAGAAATTTCTGTGCACTGTTGCACACGGCGAAACATTATCGTGATGTCTGAGCTCTACCGCACCCATCCTCCCTCGCACAGCAAATATCTGGCGGGTATTGGATTTCCACCCCTGTGGACACCTGAAATCTGCACAGATCATTTAATTTGGTGAGGCGATACTACAGTGCCTGCCCTCCCACTGAAAGAAAGAAAAGGAGAAATTAAAGAATGTGCTGGGAGGCGTGAGGTGCTGCAGAAACACCCGCCCCGGTGTCTATAAAGGGGCTGCCCCGCGCCGGGATGCACCCGAGCGCCCGGCCAAGCAGGGCACCCCAGCACCATGGCCCTGTCCGTGCGCACGAGCGGCGCGGCGCGGCACTCCTCTGCTCGGAGCGGCCTCGGCGCCGGATCCATGAGGATGTCCAGTTCTAGCAGCGCAGGCGGCTTTGGCTTCGGCGGGGGGTCCACGGCAGGCTTCGGCGCTGCCTCTTTGCTTGGCTCCAGCTCCGGCCTCAGCGGGGGCTTTGGGGGCAGCTCAGGGGGCGGCTTGGGAAGCGGCTGGAGCACTGGGCTCGGGGGCGGCTTCGGCAGCGCCCTGGGCAGCGGCTACGGGGGCGGCCTGGGCAGCGGCTCAGGCGCCGGCTTTGGAAGCGGGTTTGCCAGCGGCTCAGGCGCCGGCTTTGGAGGCTGTTTTGGCCCGGGTGGCGGCGGGGGTGGCGGGGATGGGGGCCTTCTTTCTGGCTCAAAAAAAGAAACGATGCAGAACCTCAACGACCGTCTGGCCGCCTACCTGGACAAAGTGCGATCTCTGGAGGAGGCCAACACCGACCTGGAGCGCAAGATCCGCGAGTGGTACGAGAAGAACGGCCCTGGTGCCGGTGTCACTGGGTCGGGGAACGACTACAGCAAATATTACCCCATCATTGAAGATCTCCGCAGCAAGGTAACGAAGCACAGAGCTTAGCACGTCTCCTGCACCTGCAGTTCACCTAATAAGGTTTTAGATAAACTCCTGTCTGAACCTGAGAGCAACGTTTTTCTGCGTAGGTGATGCTTGTAATAGTCCTCTGTCTCGCTGCTTTGATATTACATTATGTGGATCTTTTTTCTTCTCTGTTAACTGCAATTCTGTCACAGTTCTCAATTTCTTTGATCACAAAATCAATTCCTGAGAGTCGTCCTGGTAATCTCTTCAGTGATTACAAGCTCTAGCTCATAATTTCTGTGACTGCCTATAGTCACAGGAAGCAAACTGGTGCTTTTCCATTAGGTGGGACATGCTGACTTACAGAAGCTGAAAATCTTGTCCTAAATGTTTTCATAGTATGTTAGACAAGGTTCCAAGGAATTACACTTAAATTTATCATCACGTTTAGAATTACAGTCACATAAATAGCTATATTGAGCTGTAATCCATCAGGCTATTAAATCATTTTTGAGAAATTATTTGCATTTCAGATCATAAATGCGACTATTGACAATGCAAGAATTATTCTGCAAGTGGATAATGCCAGACTGGCTGCTGATGATTTCAGACTGAAGTAAGTATATCGCAATATTAGAAAAATTTTTATTAGTATTTTACACACACTTTAAATCTTTCTTTGTAGAATCCTTTAATATAACTATAGAACATTATGAAAATTTTATATATTAAAAATTTAGAGCAAAAGCTATATAATCACCCAGTAATAACTTTGCATTGGACTCTACTAACCACAGGCAATATATATTTAATGATTTTCCTTAAAGATATGAGAATGAACTGGCTCTTCGCCAGAGTGTGGAGGCTGACATCAACGGCCTGCGCAGAGTTCTTGATGAGCTGAGCTTGACAAGAGCTGATTTGGAGATGCAGATTGAAAGCCTCAATGAAGAACTGGCTTATCTCAAGAAGAATCATGAAGAGGTAATTTTTTTCATAAATTCTTAAAAAGACAGTATAAATTTTGAAATGTGAAATATTTCCTTTATTTGTACTAGAATAGTTACTTGGTTTTGTTGTTTGTTTGACGTTCTTTTTTGAGCTTACTAAGCAGACAATCCAAACAAGGTTTAGGTTCTTGCTGATGCAGTATTACTTTTTCTCTCATTTTCTTTTTGCTATTGCTCCTGTTGCTACTTTTGTCATTTTTTCTTGGTCTTCTAAGTGATAAATGCAGATAGAGAAATCCTTAGGAATTTTTCCTAGAACTATACAGAATTCCTGTTAAAACATAATTAAAGCATCTATTTCTACACATACATACAAGTATATGTAAAATATATTTCTGGTAGAATCGTTTTGTCTTTCTTCAAACCTCCGCAGGAGCTTCAGGGCTTCCAGGGCAGCGCGGCCGGCCAAGTGAGCGTGGAAATGGACGCTGCTCCAGGAATCGACCTCACCAAGCTGCTGAACGACATGAGAGGGCAGTACGAAGTCATCGCTGAGCAAAACCGCAAAGAGGCTGAAGCATGGTTCAACGAAAAAGTAACCTCCTCACACACAGCAATTTCAGTCAAATAAATGTAAACATTAGTTAAATTTTTGAAACAGTTAACTTACACACTCTCCTTCCTTGACATTCCAGAGTGGGGAGCTGAAAAGGGAAATCACCACCAATACTGAGCAGCTTCAGTCTGGAAAAAGTGAAATCACAGATCTAAAACGGACTCTTCAGAGCTTAGAAATTGAACTACAATCTCAACTTGCCATGGTAGGTTAAGGGGAAGTCCAGCATTACCTAGTCAGTGAAAAATTTTCAACTTCAAAAATGTTGTTGAAGTTGTTGTTAAAGTCTGCCTATTAGCAATGAACCTATCCAGTTGTTTTTTCTAAACCATTTTAGTTGCTTTTGTAATTTCGAAGATTTTTTTTCCTTCTCAGTTTATTTAATATCTTTCTTACACAGAAAAAATCCCTTGAAGATACTTTGGCAGAAACGGAAGGTGGTTACTGTGCTCAGCTTTCCCAAATGCAACTTCAGATTGGGAATCTGGAGTCTCAGCTGTTCCAGGTGAGGGCGGATATGGAGCGGCAGAACGCGGAGTATCAGCAGCTTCTAGACATCAAGTCTCGCCTGGAAATGGAGATTGAGACTTACCGCCGCCTGTTAGACGGCGAGTTTGTGTAAGTAACAAATCTACATAAAATAGCTTCTCTATTTTAACTTCTGTAACAATACTCCTTTTTGGGAAAAGAAGAGGTATAAACAAAGGGTCAGTTCACTAAAGACAGTAAGTCACATAGTAAGATTTTGAAATAATTATAGCTGGTAGCTCTTTAAACATATAATATTTAGGGAGATTCAATCATTCCATTCTGTATTTATGTTAACCTATGAATGAAAGGAATAATCTTATTTCTCCTGATCCTGGTAAACATTCTGCAATATTACATGTGTCTACAATTTGGTTTTAGGAGCGCTGGACAGGGAGTTACATTTGAAAGCTCATCTTTGACGGGATCCAAATCACAAACACAATCACTGGATTCTTCCCAGGGTAGGTAGATCTTGACTGAATAAAACTTATTTTTACAACTGCTATAATAATTCAGCCCACTGAATTTCAAATAAATATTACTGCATGCACATGGTAATAATATATACAGTTGTTTTACCTTACTAGTAAAACTAGTTGATACAGAATTAGTTAAGTACTCACACAGAAATCTCAATGATGTCAGCATAGGCATGAAAATCCCCAATAATATTACTTTCAAAATCATTCTTGTAACTAAAACAATGTGTGCTCTCTGATTTAAGTATGTCAGAAAGATCATCATAACAAGAAACCAATTTGAAAGCAAAAAGGATTGAACTATTTATGTAAGCATGATGTTCTGTTTTGTAATTTTAAACACTTCAAATAAACAAAACTTTTTTTTTTGGTTTATGATGTTTAGATCCTACGAAAACCAGAAAGATCAAAACAATTGTTGAGGAAGTAGTAGACGGAAAAGTTGTTGCATCCCACGTTAAGGAAGTTGAAGAGAAGATATGACACAATCTGCTATTGTAACAGATCCATTCATTCCATTCTTCCTTAAAAACAATAGCAGATCAATATCTTTGTTCTTCTGCATGAAATGATAGTTTGGCTTATTTGATATGATTCTTCTATGCAAAAAGAAACATATATTTTTCATTCTCATGCAATATAATTTCTGCTTCAGTCTTTAAGTATTGGCTTGTATTATTTTCACCATGTACTTCAAATGTGTCATCAATTCTTTGTTTAGCAACTGAAAACACGGTGCACACGTTAGGCATTCAGATATACTTGTGGTTGCTTTTTTAATACTTTTAATAGGTAAAATAATTTTGCTCTTCAAACCTCTTCTTCCAGTTCTCTTGAGTAATAAAACAGAACTCAACAAGCTTTAAACTCCCTTGCATCCTTTCTATGATAGTTCCAGATTGCAGCTCATGATCCGTATTTGCTATTTTTGTTGGGTATCTTGCCATGTACTCTGTGCATGTGGGCACATGTTGGCCTTCATTCACCATGTAAGGACATTAATCCACTGGTAGAACACGCATATAAATAAAACTGTTTAAACATGGGATTAAAACAGTACTTAATAGCACACAATTTAAAAATCGCACTCTTGAAGGATTAAACAAGCAGAACAACACAGTGTAATATGTAGGAATGCTGTAAGCGTAGCGGAGAAAAAGAAAAGGGCGACCTTCATTTGAAAGCAGCAGCAAAGCAGCGCTCAGGCGCCCCGAGTGCCACCTGCTGGGAACACAGCCTGATTTTCTGAATTGCAAACCTGACTTTCTGAACTCCACTCAAATGAACTATTTTAAAGAATTTCATCCCGAACACAATAATAAAGCACAGCACAACTCCTTTAAAATTTACACCCAATTCTTTGAAAATATCAAGTTTCTTTTTTTATTGTTAGCAAGGCATTTGAAGTGTTGTTAGCTAGCATTTCAAGGAATATAATTCACATTTGTTTGTAGATCATCATCCTGTCTGCTCCTCAAAACAACAGACAGATTTTGTAAACCTCCACACAGGAACAGTAAAATATATGTGAAGATACTCTCAAAACAGAAAATAAATCCTTTAACTACTATTATGCCACCCTATTTGAGAAAATTCAATGAATGTAAGTAGTCTGGAAGAAAAGTATTTGCTTTCCCTTCAATACATTGAAAAACTACGGAAGAATAAGCAATAACTTGAGGCAAAATACAGAAACATGAATAGTAGGGCTGACTATCGACCACCGCTGGTCATGCAGCTACGCATTATATATTGATATATATACACGACAGCAGAGCTAGTAAAAATACATTGCAGAAACACAGCTGTGCAAGCCTGTGCATAAACGCAGTTGCTTCCACCTACCTTTAGGTTTCTTGAATCTCGCAGCCAGATGTCTTTGTACCTGAAAGAAAAATTAAGAAAAAAAAAAACGCTTTAGTGTCGATCTGTTTTAAAAACGTTTTATAAATAGTATCATCTGGCAAGCTTTCATGTGCTAGTGAGCCTCAAAGAAGATTTGTGCATAGACATGTTTTGGGGCATGAAGTTTAGCTCGTGGCACCAAAGCCAATCTGGTTGCACATGCTATCTCCTGCATAGCATATGCCATCCAGTGCACTGCAAAATTCTACATTTTTGGATTATTCTTTTAACCTGCTAGACAATCTTGACGTTGACTCTGGTGCACTGAAGACATTCTCAGTCCCAGAGAGCTTAAAACTCACTGCAAAGAATTAGTATCGTAATTCAAAGGAAAAGGAAGATTTAAAATTACATTTAATATTCTTGTTTGCTTGAATACATAGGCTCCTCATATTAAAGTTCAAAATGCTTTAAGGTCTAACATGTCAAATTTCTTTGATTGATTTCTAATTGCTTTTTTTTTTCTTTTATATTATCTGAATACTCTCACATCATGAATGAGAAACAGTGTATTTTGTCTTTAAAATCAACTGAACTAGAATTAAGACACTTGTGGAAAAGATGGTGGACAGCAAAACAGTCTCATCTCAGTCCCAGTCTGTCAAAGAATAGCAGCTAACTAAGAAAAATAGGATTGAAACACAGGACTCTTTCACAGGTGCCAAAAGCAGAGCCAAGAGCAAAGAAACCTTACGCACTCAAGCAGAATTTTAAGTGGTACAATACTTATAAAAATATATTATTTACAGAAATCACAGAACAGCAAAAAGGGAACCTATCTCTTCTACCTCCCAGTAGCTCTCCAAAGAATGTGTAAGGATCTTGCACTTTGCACGCTCTGCATTGACTGTGAACACACAGAAGGCAACGAGACACTGTAATCTCCTTCAGCACCAGGACCGACACTTTTTGGGACCGCACATCTTTGTCTTCAGCATCTGCTCATCAGATCCTTCTGCCAAAAGGCAAGCAAACCCCTTGCAACAAGCTGCAAGAGCAGGGCTGGGTATTTTTGTGTTCCGAGCCCATGGAAATGCCAGCTGAAAGGCTGCCTGAAGCCTGATGCTCTCGAAGAGGGACAATCACCAGCACTGCACTTGGTCAGCCATATCTCTGCCCAGCTGAGCCCTGCAAACTCTCCAAGATGCCAACGGGGCAATGTCCCCATGTACCCTGTGCTCCGCGAGCCTCCTGGGCAGGCACGTGGCAGCAGCACTGCCAGCTGTGTGTGTGCCCGGCGGGACACCGCTCCCTTCCCTCGCCTCTATCGCTACACTCACAAGCCATGCAACTTGAATTTTGCCTTGCAACTCTGCAAAAAGGTTAGGTTGTAAAAAATAACAATTATGCTGCAACAAAACCACAAAGACATGGTATGTATTAGTTTCAGCATATTATATCACCACGCTAATCACTGCAAAAGTAATACGTATTTGAAATTAAAAAGAAAACTATTGAAAGGCTCTGAAAGGCTCTGACCTTCCAGTGCTTGCTCCAAAACAGAGCTCTGCAGCTTTAAAATCTGCCCGTACTTTCCCCCCGCGCTCTGCTCTCACTGCAGGCGCCGGGCTCTGCAGCAGCCACCTCACCCTATCAAGGAGGCTCCGCTCGCCAGGGTGGAGGATGGGAAGGGAATGGAGCTATCCCAGCTCCTCGGTGGGATCAGGGCAAACTATGAAAGGCTCACCACCAGAAATCAGATAAAGACCCCTCGCTCAGCAAGGACGCAGGTAATGGCTCCACACACGCACGCACCTGCCAGGGAGGCGATCCCGCGCTCTGCAAGTGCTGCCTCGCTCGCCAGGAGGTACAGTATTGCCTTTGCAATGCAGCAGAGCAGCGGGGAAGGGATTTTGATTTTACTGCAGTAAGACTTGAGCTTGAAGACAGGGCCGTATGCTTTGTCTAGAGCGTGGAATGCACACGGAAGGAATACCGGGTAATGCATCTGGATGTTCTCCTGTACCTGCAATGGTGATATTGTTGTGATTTAAAAAATGATGACATATGCAGTAACGTGCATAGCTCCATTTAGTCATCCCAAAGGAAAAGAGTATCATGGAAATCGAAGAGACTGGACAGAAGCCATTTATACAAAGGTTTACAGTTCTTAGCACTTTTGTAAAAGTGTATCTTCTCAAGAATTATTTTATATTGCTCTCAGTAAAACTGTCATAATTTCTGCAAATATTATTATTTTGTGGAGATTTATTAAAGGTTATCAAAACACACTTACAAATTTAAATAGAGAACATCTCTAAAAGACCGTTTACAACCACTAAATGTCAGGAAATCCAGGCTGAAAAATATGCATTATATCTCTCAGCTGTACGTAGGTACTGCAGAAATTTTGGACTTGTTTATTAATCCAGGCCAAAGTACCTAACACAAGTTAGCTAATCTACACAGCCTTCCAATGACACAGAGCAACCATAAACCAGACTAAGTCAAATTCTGTCCTGTGTTTGGCACAAGGCAGCCAGCCTATTGCTATATTCTGGTCTCATTAACTCTGCAGTATCTAAGCACCAAAGGACAACGGAAGAATACTGAGCTGAAAAGTGTTCACTTGTGCATTAGTCAAATGTAGATTTTTCACCAAAATAACGAGCTGGTGAAATGGCAGTAAGCTAGTGTATTAACAAAACCAAATAAAAAAAAGCCGTATTTTATTTTACTTGCTTGCCAAGACCTGAACTAAAGCATAAAACCAAAGGTATGAGCATACATGTGGACAGCATGCCACCTTCTTCCTTCCCCCGCAGCAGCATAGAGGGATGCTCACTATACCATACATAAAAGATTAATTAATCATGTCTAGCTTTACCAAGTTAATATGAATCTAAAAAAACTGCAATTAGAGATATTTTTGCATTTTTACATTATTTAAATATTTTAATACTGTTATCTTTTCTGTATCTACTGTAGCTAGAAGAAGCTACAATTAAAAGAATGGACAGAGATGCAGAAGCATTAAAGGCAGCCAGAGCAGAACTCAGTGAAGCCAGACGGCAGTGGCACCATATGCAAATTGAAATTGAATCGCTCCATGCTGTGGTAAGCATGGTAAAATGATACTCAAAATTTACTAAATTTGGTAACGTAGGGAGGATGCAGAGCGCATAGACTGCTCAGTTTTCCTGTGACACTGAGCTGACTATCATCTTAATGATACAGGTAAATCCCGCAACCTGTGAAACACTAGTAGTGAATTGCTGGTAAAACAAGAAGCTACATTTTTTAATTCTATCTTGAATCAATATGTATTTTAGAAAGAAGATTAACAGCAAAAGTTTTATCTTAAAAGTTTTACTTCTGTTGCTTAAAAATAGTCTTAAAAGAACTGGTTTAAAAATACATTGTCTGATTGCTAATGAAAAGTATGTATTACATCTTTACACATACTTCCTAAATCTTAAAATATGAGTTAAATTTAACAGGAAAAGGGTTTGGAACGTTCACTGCGTGCCACAGAGCAGCAGTACCATATGCAACTTCAAAATTTAGAAGCTGAGATTGAAAGCTTAGAGAAAGAGCTACAGGAAGTGAGAAGAGGGATTGAGAAACAGCTTCAAGAACATGAAATCCTACTGAACACTAGGATGAAGCTGGAGGAGGAAATAGCAACATATCGCAGTCTGCTTGAGCAAGAGGAGAACAGGTATTTGCTGAGAAGAAATGCTCAAATTCATACTTAATTCCAGAACTCATTGAAATCACCATCATTAATCATCATAATTAACCATCATGTAGTTACATGAACCAATCACTGAGTTACATGTTTACATATGTATTTAAAGTTTACACTATAAAACCCTTTAAAATGTTTTCATTTTATCTTATATGAATATGTATATGTACTCACACACACATATATATATGCACACGCTCAAAATACAACATTTTAAATGATTTCATGAACAAGCTCCAAGGCACTCAAAGGTATATTTTACAAAGCCTGAAGCATTTCTCTGTTTTTTTCATGTTTATGTTTAGGTATATTATTTGCTTTGCTGAATTTAGCTTGTAGGCTTTCTACAGACAATTGGGGTTCCAATCACAGCAACTGTGAAAATCATTTAATTTTCACCAATTTGCAATGAAAATACTGTATTTTCATTGTATCTATGTTTGTAAATAACATTTTTAAAGTGAAAATATGTGTATATATAATGTCTCAATACATACATTAAGACTTACATGCTATTATCATTTGCTTCACATAATTACACATAATGGCTTTCAAAGGAATGCTGCCTCCCTTAGGCACTGCTAGAGAAAACAGGGAACTTCAGCCCCAAAACCCCAGCATGCGTCTGCACAATAGGGGCCCAGACAGGGGGTCAGTCTCCTATTTAATGCTTTTAACTCTGTGAAAGCTCAGATACACAACTCAGGCTCAAAGAAGTCAAATACTCTTCTGGGCTAAGAGCAACCTGAGGGAAAATGAAAAAATAATGGTGAAATATACACAAAATTTTTCACCAACTTTTTCTACCCAAAATATAAGAAATCCTAACAAGTAATTATTACGGTCGACCAGAATTTCTCATGGCTCCTGCATTTTTCAGATTTTCCCCATTTGCTCATAACACAAGCTGTAGATTAAAATAATTCAGTATTAGATGACTGCAGTATTTTTTCCTTTTGCAGGTTTCGTTGTTCTATACCTGACCAAAAGGATGACAAAAAGCCTACTACTAGCAAGATTGCCTTTACGCTGCCTTCCAGTGAGTTTGTTATAAAAATCTCTTCCCCCACCTGAGTTTCCTAAGTAGTAAATCACATATTTTTCACAGCAAAAACAATATAATGCTAAAAATTTCCGATTTGTGTATGCCTGGTACATCCACCTTTTCTTTTATAGATGGTGTAAAGAAGCATGAAACAGAGAAGACGGAATTGGTGACAAAACAAGCCATTCTAGATGGCAATATTACAAAGGAAAGTGCTGAAGCTCATGGCACTATACAGTAAGATAAACGTGAATTTAATAAAGTAACAACTATAAGTGAATGGAGGGCACTAGGGCACTGCTTTTCACTATCTTGACTTCTTTTATTAGCATGCTTTATTATATAGAGATAAGATGTTCTATAGTAACATACATTGACTGAAATGTTATTAATAAACTAGATTGTAAAGACTCTTCATTAATATTTATTTAATAAGCTATTGATATCATAATGATGCTTCTAATTGGGAATTTCTATTTCTTACAAGAATTATGCTATTCATAACTCAGGTAGTTACAGCTAAAAGAGATGATATCATGTAGGCAAAGTCCCTATAAGACAAATCTATATTTACATGTGTAAATTTAGGGAACTTACAAACTAGGTTCCTCGGTAGGCATGTAGAAGCCTGTTTAGTACATACTGTTCATCTTAACTTACTCTACTAGTGTTGGATTGCACCATTCTGCTCTTTAATTCTTTTCTACACTTGCATCTAACATAACATTTAATATAAATTGCAGTGTACCATGTCACTAATACTTAACTATAATTACCTGCTGAAACCATGTATAAATTTGTATTAAAAAAAATAGATGCCTATGGTCTAATAATACACGTTTCATACATGAAGCTTATTTTAACACATAATTTGTGCATCTTGCACAGATAATTTAAAAACAGATCCTAAAATGCATTTCCAGGATTAAATCAATACTGGTGATATTCGATATTTCCGTGCCTAAATATCACTGAAGCAGCTGCACTTTCTCTTCTCCATATTTCAGTTCAGCCTTTTCTTTCTAATTTTATGTGGAACTACATTCTGAGGATTGAAGCTAGAATTAGATTGTTCACCTCTCCCTTTTTTGAAAGTTTTCAGCTGCACAAATTTTGTCTTGCCCGCTGTAGCAGAGCAGCTTCTTGCAAGCAATTTGAGACCAGATTACAAACTTCCTCCTTGGCAGCAAGCTGCCTGATGCCATTAGAGCAATGGCTTTCTTTTGCATCCATGTCAACTTAAAGTACAAAAATAAGGAAATCTTGCCCTTTATTTAGCTTTCCTGAGAATGCAACTGTAAAAAAAAAAAAGACAAGAATTCTGGGATCTCAGAATCCAAGTAAAATAACTTGGCACTCTTATTATGTAATTTCTCATTACATTTTAAAAGCAATCCTGAACACTTGCATTGCATAATGCCTAAAGGATCACAAATACATTTGCTTTCTGGTTACAGGACAGAAAAAGTGGATGAAGTTATCAAAGAATGGGAAGGTTCCTTCTTTAAGGACAACCCTCGCCTAAGGAAAAAATCAGTTTCACTGCGCTTTGATCTCCACCTGGCAGCAACCAACGAAGGATGCTTACACACAAAGCAGAAAATGCTCCCGGACATTGAAGTCAGGCTGGTAATGAGGAGGTCTTGCAGTATTCCTTCCATCAAACCTTAACCTACAGCAAATTAACACAAGGGTCATTTGCAATGGGCTCTGGAAATAAACTGCAAAGCGACTTACATGGTCTCTATCTTGCTAGAATATAAAACCTTAGCAAGTCTGTACTTTGATTAATAAAATTAAAATGTTAAGTCTTTTAAAGGAAAGGGAGAAGGACAAGGGAGTTAGATTTCAGAATCTAACTTCTACTAGTTTTTTACTCTGGGTATGGTTCTTTAATTTTCTCATTATTATTGTTATTTTGTAGTATTACATCAAGTATTTAAGAGTTAAACTATATCTTTATATCTTGACATATGCTGTCTTTGTAAAAGAGAAATTGCTTTCTCTTTCTGGAAATGAGAATTACATATTTTATCCTCATAATTACTCACTGTAGCATACTCATAATGACTGATGAAACCTTGCAATAGTTTATACCACAACTGTCATACTTACCAAAATGTATTTTAAAACATTTTCTAAAAACAAAACAAGAAATATATGCAAAGATGCTCTTAAAATATGTATCATTAGCCTCAGTACGGATCCAGTGTTGTTAATACTTGAGTATTTGGCATCCTGAATGTAATAGCCTGCCATTTTCACTATGCAGTGTTTCTTTGTGCTTATACTGTGTACATTTTACAATACTTGAACTAAGTTTTAATTGCTTTAAGGCACTTTAAACAGGGATATGAATTTACCAAAGTAAATGATAGCACTACAATAAAAAGTAATAAAACTAAGTTGGACCATACATATTTTCTGAGTTTGATATGTGTATCTTAAGAACGGACTAACAAAAAAAAATACAATAAAAAGTGAGAAAATCTGTAGCACTGCAGCTGAGTGCTTTTTATAAGTCTTCTGTACAATTAGTAAATCTTAAATTTGCTAAGAATTTTGATGATAACAGGCGGAGTGCGCATCCTTCTTGGCCTGCAACAACTATTATTGTTTAGTATATCCTGTAATCCTGACTGGATCTCAAGTACTTTGTTCTGAGCGTTGCACCAAAAAAAAAGTAAAGATATCATCTAGCGTACGAAGTTTACCATCTAAAAGACAGCAGACAAGAAGAAATACACTGCAAGTAAGTACATGTCTCTAGACCACAATGCTCCTTGTGTTTTTAACTTATCTAGTGCAGCTCAGTAACTCAGCTCGATGTTCTTAATATATTATAGAGGAATGCATGAAGTCAAAATCAGGAACAAAACTAGGTTATATTTAACAGCTTAACAATGACTTTCTCACCTGTTCTTCACAAAATTCTATGGTGTTAAGCTGCTGGACTGAAACGAGGCTAAATTTAGGTGATAATCTGAGGAACCGGTGGATTCTTATATTCTTTTAATTACCAAATGGAAGCTACGGATCATTCAATTCTTCAACGAATTTTCACTGTGGTCACAGATACAGTGTACACAGATAAGGGCAGGGTTATTCTTTCTTCATCCATTGAAATGTGTTTAGGGAGACAGACAAACTTGTTTAGATGAAGTGTTGGCATCAGGAAAAAAGCCTGACTTGCAGCAATGGAGGATCCTATTCCTTTAATCAAAATAAAATCAATGTATGTTTCTGCTTCTTATCTTGCCAGTAGCGTTCACCGTTTGGCTCTCCGTCAACTGCCATATCCACGAGGTCCACCAAAAGTCTTCTTTTAGAGGTGTCAAGATTTTCATCTCATTAGCCACACTGCCGCACCTCAGCTCCCAACCTTTTTATTTTGAATTCAGGCACCTCAACAATTTTCAGTGCACAAAACCATCACATGTGGGACACTGATGTTTGAACGTGCTCCTGTTCCTCTGACGTTCAGAACTGCTTGTAAATCAAAGCTTGTACACGCAAGCTTTTCACCTCCATATACAACGCTTCTTTTCCGCTCGCATTTCCACAGTAACCTGTTCCAGATTATTTCGGAGCTCCATGCCTTGTCTAACTCACAGTCTTTGACAATTCTGCCAAGTACTTCAGCTTCTCTGCCCAGTTTAGTCCAAAACCTGCACAGATTTGGAACTGTTTCTCAGGGCCCGCGGCATCAGCCTTCCCCATGCACATGCCCGTGCTGCAGGGCACTCCTCTGTGCCTCCCCTCACGGGAAAACGCCTCAGTTTTCCTCACGGTATCCCGAGGGAGGGCGGACGTCGGGCCAGGCCCCGCGCCCGCTCCCTCTCCTCACAGCGTCGCTGCCCGAGGCGGCGCCAACGGTCGCGCCCTCCTCGTGCTCTGCCTGGGCATTCCGAACGGCAGATTCGCCGCACAGAGACCACGTGCTACAACCAGCCGCTCCCTCCTCGTCACCGACCGCCCCGGAGCCGTTAACGAAAACCCGGGCGGGGGCTGCCAAGCCTCGGCGGGAAGTACGTGGGTGCCGGTGTGGAAAGTGCGGAGGGAAACGCGCAGGTAGGCGGGCGGCGCCCCGCATCTCCCTCCGGCAGCGGGCGGAGGCCGCGCCTGCGCACAGCTCCCGGAGCGGCCCTTACCCGCCGCGTGCCGCAGATTCGCCACGGCGCGCCGGGGCCTCCTTCCTTCCCGGCGGAGTTTGGAGGTTCGCGCCCGGTGGGGACCCCGCGGTGGAAGGGGCGACCCCGGCGACGCCTCCAGCGGAACTCGAGCGGCCGCCGCCGCCGGCGTGCGGTGCGGGAGCTGCGTGTGGAAAGTGCGGCGGCGCAGGCGCGGCCCGCGCTGCCGCCCCAGCGCTGTGGGGAACAAAGGGAGCGCGGCCGGGCCCGGAGCCGGTGAGTCGGGACGGCGGCGGCGCCGGGGCTCGGCGGGCCCAGCCGGGGGGGTTCGCCCGGCCCGGCCCCACCGCCGCCCCGGCACGGGGACAGCTGCGGGGGGAGGGAGCGGGGTTGTGGGGGGAGGCGGCGGGACCAGCCCGGCCCCCCCGGTACCGGGCGCTGGGGGGGATCGGAGCGAGCGCGGGGCGCGGGCAGCGCTTCCCTCGCGGGGACGAGGCGGCAGCGGCCGCGCTCCCTCGGCGGCAGCGGCGCCTCCGCCCCGCCAAGCTCCGCGAGCGTTTTGGGGTGAAAAACTGGGAAAATAAGAACACGAGGCGCGAAGCTCCGCGCGCGGCCTACGCTGAACAGGGGCCGCTGCCGCCGCGACCCGGTCGCTTCCGCCGGTGCGGCGGTTTCTGCTCCCCTTCACAGCACAGAAACGCGTACCGAGGCCCTGTGTGCGTGAAGTCCCGGTTCCTGAAGCAGGCCATGTAAAACAGTGATAAATGTCATCCTCAGTTCCGAGGGTAAAGTGTTGCTCCTGAAGCCCTGGTTATTCCTGACCGTGGAGATAAGACATGTCTCTGCAGCACAGCTCTTTAAGGACAGATCCCTTGGAAAGCACACATGCTTTGAAAGAGCATCCTTTAGTTCCCAAGAAACCTTGTTTTGTCTTTATTCCAAAACTTTTTTTTTTCCTTAAGTTGTTAATGATAACAATTGAAGCTTCAGAGATTTGGGAAAGCTAGATATTAAATAGCATGATATTCTCTTGTTTTTCAGAATTACAAATATAATGTCAGGTGGCTGAAAATTTGACTGTCAAAATGTCAAGTAAGTTTTTTTCAAATTTTTCTTCTTAAATCTGATGAACTAAAGATCTGATTTAGCAGAAACTACCTGTGAGATAAGTTTATTATTCCTTGTGTAAAGAGGAGTGATAAGAAGCGTAGTCATTTCTGAACAAACTCTTGGGCTTAAATCTTGCTGGTGATGATTTCTGACCTCTCAAGTGTGACCAGAACTTGCCCTCTTCCTGTTTGTCTCTGAGCGTGCTGTAAAATAGGAATCACTACTTCTTGTGTCCAAATCTTGGTTTTCATAGAAAATTCAAACATCAGAGTTAATCCTAAATACTTTTTGCTCTATGCTTTTGTTTACTTTCTTTTAAAAATGCATTTAAATGCATTTTATAGTCTTTAATTTTATGCCTAAATAAAAGGCTAAATAAGGGGAAACTTTTGAATGCAGGTTCTCTCTTTTCCTCTAAATCTTTGAGCAGTCTGGATGCCTTTAGGAATTCTTTTGCATTTTCAAGAAAAATGTTTCTGCTTGCATTTGTCTTTCAACAGAAAGGCCATCTTATGCTCCGCCTCCTACCCCAGCTCCCGCAACCGTAAGTATAGAGATTTTTCTCCTTAACACAGATCTGGTGATGCAGCCTTTAATAACCTCCCACAGCAATAACACTGAAGGTGCATCAGCTTCCTGCACTGGCAACATAAACTAACTGTGTTTCGTTGGTAACGTGATATGCCTTGTTTAAATCCATCTTAACAGTTTTTTAAAGCAAATTGTGAGTGTGTGTGCGTGTATATATCTATATAATATATATATAAAAGAGCAAACTGATACACACTTAAGTCTGAAATTTCATACCCAGCTTTTACCAAACCATGGGCAAATACTGTGTGTCTTGGTGTTTCTTTTCTACCTACCTACCTGACTTTCAGTAGAATGTAATAACAGGCACACTTTGGAGCAGAATAACCAAACACAGTGCAAATCTTATTCAAACTTTTTGAAATCGCTGGTATTTTGGATTCTGCATGAGAAGTATTTTACTCCGTTTTGGAAAGATACTTTACAGAAACACAAAACATGGCCTTGAATCACGTTCAGTGTGGTCAGGAGGAAAGCACCTGAAAGCAAAGATATCTGTTCTGTAGCATTTGCTCTCCTTTAATGTCAATGCAGTAATCCTCAAATGCAAGACAGGAGATGGTTGCACTAATTTTCTGTGCAAAAGATGCTGGTGAAATGCTTGATGAAAGAGAATTTGAAAGCTTTGATCCAGGTATCGGAGATGAAATGTGCAGGATGGAATCTAGATGAAATATGCTCCTTCACATTCATTGTGCCAGACTGCATTATATGCTATATTGTATAAGCAGAATGTTCTTAAAAACGTGTGAAAATAAAAAAAAATACTACTTTTGGCCTAGTTTGAAAGTTTTCATTTTGTACACAATTCTATAGATTTTTGTGAATATTAGAAAAACTGATGGTTTCTGCTCTTACAACTGGATTCCTGCATCAAGAACCAGGCGAACACATAGAGCACATTGCTTCCCTTGGGACTGAGCATGGCTGCAGATGTTAAATGCAGTATATTGATATGGCCATTAATATTGAGTGGGGGTTTTTTTCCTCATTTTTAACCCGAGTCAGTACCCTTTAGAAGAGTACATGCAATTTCAGCTCTTCAACACGAGACATATTGCCTGTTTTATAAGGATCTTGTGCGCTCTATAAATTACTGCATACACAGTCCTTGACGGTCTGTGCTCTGTTAATGCAAGTCAAAAAAACAGCAGTGGACAGACTTTGCCTCCAGCTTCTGTGAATGCTCTAAGCTAAGCATGAACAGTCCCCTCTCACTGCAGTATTATATCTGTAGTAACAACTGTCTAATGTAATGATAGGTAATTCCCGTGTAATATTCACACCTGTCTTGCAGAAATAAAGAATTAAGCACACAGCCTGCAAAATGAAGAATTAAGCACACAAAGCTTGCAACGGTTGTCATCCACTTTTGTTGGAGATGTAATTCATTTTATTCCAAACCTGTTATGTAGTGGTAGTGAACTACAGGAAGACCACAGCTTGTTAAGTAGCAAGTGGGTATACCACGATCACGGGCACACAGGCCTTGTTAAGAGTTTGGCAATAAAACATGCATTTGAAGACTGGTTCTTAAAGAATAATTTTGTGCTTGTATGCCCAGCAATAAATAAACTATGTGTGTCCACATATGCTTGAGAACTTTGCAAGTGAATGGAGTTTAGTTTATAGGCTCTTCTTGCTCCCTGTTTTATCTGTGTAGGTGCCACAGTGGTTCTTCCGGTGTTCCTGAATGCGCTCATTGATTCTATTAATTAATTTATTTATTTTATTCTGGGAGGATGGTGGGGAAATGATCTGTAATGGATGCAGTGAGCAAATTATTTTGAAAGACTCTTGATCTATATGTTTCCTGTTAGGGCCAGAGTGCCTAATAAACATGAAACTCTATGTAATGGAATGTTAGGACCACTACAATCCGGATTTATATGTAGATGATGGGAGGGATTAGAAAGAATTAAGCTTTCTGTACAGTACTGCAGGTGAAAACAAACTGATCCAATTCAAGAGTCAATGAAGATTCAATGGATTCAATGAAGTAGTGATCTGATAAGATTAGCTTGTAGTTTCTAACCTATGGATTTTATTGCAGTGGTTCAACTCCGTCATTCAGCAATCTAGTTCATAACTGAATTACATCTCCTTGAATCATCATGTCCTCGGTTTTCTAATCTCATAGTTCCCTAAAATATTTAAATACTGCAGATCATCAAGAAAGCCTTCCGATATTGCTAGTGGTGCACAGATGGTGCTTTGCTTGAGAGATTCTTTCCTGTTGCTAGAATTAATGCTTGTTGGAAAGGCAGGGGGATGGAAATAAGGCTAGATGGAGATTTTCATTGGTTTCACTTGGCTAAAAACCCTGTTTCCTTGATAGGTTTATATTGGAGTAACTTTTACATATTAAGAAGATACCAACTGCTACACCTCATTTGCTTGTTTAAATTCTGATTGCTTTTGCATGTCATATTGCAGTTCACTTTCATTTCTGTGTTTTCCTCGTTTGAGCTCATTTCTCATTCGTGTTTTTGTCTCATTTGTTTCCATCAGCAAATGCCCAGCACACCAGGGTTTGTGGGATACAATCCATACAGCCATCTGGCCTACAACAACTACAGGCTGGGAGGGAACCCGGGCACCAACAGCCGGGTCACGGTAGGAGAATCAACTATTACATCATCCGGCAAACATCAGGAATTGACCAGAAATGGCTTTAGAGTTAGGTTCTTCTGCATCTTGGCTGCTGCCGCTTTTTATAAAACAAAAATTACTTCTGATTTTCCCCTTCCCCTCTTTCCCTTTCCCTGTGAAACCTTCTACAGGAAAATAGATTTCTGTTCAATAGGGAAAAAGTGTGACATGGAAGTGCGATAGGGAATCCGAAAAAGAAGGACTTTCCATGGTCTTCAGTGGCCACCAAGTACTTAGGGAGAAGATCTATAGTATGTGAGTCTAAATTATTCTTGAAGGGAGGGAACTACTAATTTTATTGAGGTTTATTAGCACAAAAAGAAGATACTTTCCAAACTGGTGAACGTCTGTAGTTACTGTGTCATATAACTGAGTCACGCAGGAGATGCAAGTCTTTATTCTGTACTCTGTGGGTATGAGGCAAATGAATGTTAAATCCATTTTTCAGGGTATAAATGAAGTGAGATGGACTCAAGTGATGAGAGAGAGGTAGCAGTTTCTTTCAAATACAGATAAAAGTTCTGAGCATCAGGTGTAGTCAGGAAAGGAAAACAACCTGTGGAAAGTGTAGCTTTTCAGTAACTAACACAATAAAATTAAGTAAATCCCTAAAACTTTTAAAACACAACCAAAAATAAAGCGGTCCTTTAAGTCTTATATTTTTAAGGGTTTTTTTTCATGTAAAACTTTCTCAAAACACTTCAATTTGGAATATAGCATAAAGAAAAACTAATAAGCAATCGATGGCATTTTTGATGCTCTAGTCATCCTTATGACTCTTCTGTAAACTTCCATAGAAGTTCATCTGGTTTATTAAAACGTTTACAGGAAAGACTTGTCCTGTACCAGCTGCAACATCGATATTTCTCTTTTGATAGAGAATAAATTAGGTGTTGTCTCAGAATTTTCATTGTTTCTGTATGTCATAAGCATATGCAGCCTTCTCTGCCATGCATATACCGCTATATGTATGGTGTCTTTAAATTCCTATTAATTTAAAAGCATTGAACAATTTCCGTTAATGTTTTCCAAATCCATCTGTGCGTGTATATATGTATACATTTTGGTAATGCATATACCTCATGTACATTATTTATATCTATATGCAATTCTGTATGCATTGTTTCATAGAGCTTCATAAATTCAGTAAAATGAAGTATCCAGAGGAAAAAATTGGAAGCTGAATACTGAACACTAGCTGCTTTGGCCAGATCCAAGTATTTGGTTAACCTATGGCCATAGTGTTGGAAAGTTTGAAACTTCTTTGTATTTTCATAAAAATGGTCCCACTTAATACAGTGGACATCCTCACACGTGTAAGTGCTTGAAGAACTGAGGTTTTCAGAAGCTGCAGTCGATGCCTTACGAAGCTGTGCTCTAAGGTGCTCTGTAGCTTGAGGGGACAGGAATGGGTGGATGCAGCCACTTCCCATCAGTAATGCTGACTAGTCAGTGCTCTTTCCTTTAGTGCAAGCCACATACTTGATGTACTAACCTAAAGGAAGATAAGAGCACATGGGGATATTCGGTCTAATTCGGACACTTGCAGGACAGCTTGGATACAAACAACACCCATATTGAGAGATCAGTTGCATAGTAACGTTTTCTTTTTATATTAAAGAGTTTAAAAATTCCAAAATATATTTCTATAACAAATGTATATGTGCTTATTTGAGCAAACATTTCTAAAATGTCTAGATAATATCATGCTCTTAAAAAAACTTTTTTCCTTATCTTCATTCCCCATCCCCAGAAGGCACATTAAATTTGTCAAAACAGGTACAATAACAGTTGCTCGTCAGAAGTGAGAAAAACAACATGCTGGGATTGACATTTCCACACCAATTTCTAAATTATGCCTTTCAGTTTTACAATATATAGCCCCTTTGGACATTTGTCTAGTAACTACTCTGTAAACTTAGACACATAAGGACAAATTTAGATTGGAAAGATATTACTCTGAGAACTGGTTGTAGTACCTGTTTGCAGTTCTGGTAATTATGGGGGGTGAATTTGTTTGTTATTTGTTTTTTTTTCCTGTTTAACTACACAAGAATGAGTGTATTCCAGAATTAGTGCATATGGAAGTTGTGCAGTGATCACATTAACGAATGGCTTTATTCGGTTCTTTTGTAGGCGTCCTCTGGTATTACCATTCCAAAGCCCCCCAAACCCCCAGATAAGCCTCTGATGCCCTACATGAGGTACAGCCGGAAGGTGGGTATACAGTGTCAAGCAAGTAATAATAAAAGCTAGTGTTTGTCTGTGCTAACAATTAATTAATCGCTATTATCTTAGTTTCAGCTTCTAAACTTTTACTTCTCACAGCCTGCACATTCTTTTAAGTGAATTTTAAAGTACAGATGCATTGCCCTTCAGAATAATGGCAGCAGTAATCTGTTCATGCAGTTGCCAATTTCCTGGGGGGAAAAAAATTCTCTAAAATGATAATTTACTACCACTGTCTGGTGACAAGGATCCACCCTGCCACATTCAGAAGTTCCTGTGACTTATGACAGAACTTTTTATAAAGAGAAAGTATTCCTTGCAGTAAACTGGGCTTGGTACAGTGCTGTAGCTGGACTGAAGAGTAGCAATGAGTGGACTTTGCATGTTCTCCTTCACCAACCTAGCCTGTGGCAACGTTTGCTTCGCTATTCTGTGAACCGTTTGACAGAAAGTAGGAGAGAGAGACTCGTGGGGAGCACGAAATCTGATTGGGCTTGGGGAGGGCATTTGAACCTGCCTGCAGCGGGTGAGCCAGAAGGAAATTCTTCCACTCCTGGTAAAGTATCTTTACCAGCATGTCTGTCTTAGGCCAAAAAGTCAACAACAAAAAAAGGCAAGTGGCGTTCTAATCTCTCACAGCAAGAAATAACACTGGCAGCTCGCTCCTTTTGTTTTTCTCCCTATAAAGTTAGAAACGTTTTTGGTGGAGTCAGAACTTGTTGGAACTCAAATTGATCAGCAAGACTGAAAAATATTTTGAAATGTTACATTCAGATCTGAAAAGCTCAGTGCTCTTTATCATAACCTACTGCTGGATGTGCTTACTCAGTAGCATTTTTTTTCCCAGAGATGCAGCGATGTGCATTTGAGAAGAGAATTGAGAGGGTTAAAGGCACAATTCTCATGAAACCAAAGCCATTTCAGCAGTTGCCCGTTTCCGTAGATGGCCTCCTACTGACCTTCTGCCCCAGAAAATAATAGAGATAGTTTAGCCAGACTCACTCCTAACTTATTCCTGTTTTTTCATGGTGGTTCCAGAAAGAACACTGAGATGACAATATAAAATGTTTAATTTGGAAGTATTTAGATATCATTAGTAAAGCTCCAGCTGTTTCTGTTAAGGTCTGGGACCAAGTGAAGGCGTCCAATCCTGATTTGAAGTTATGGGAAATTGGCAAGATTATTGGAGGAATGTGGCGAGATCTCACTGATGAAGAGAAGCAAGAGTATTTGAATGAATATGAAGCTGAAAAGGTAAATGGAAGAAATCTGGGATGTTTATTACAGCTGATTCTTCTAGGAACTGGTCTGAGAAGAAAAATTCATCTTACCCATGCAGTGATATATATGAGGCATTCACGAGACCCCCCTATATGTAACTTAAATGGAAATATGCCCTGACACGTCTTTTAAACTTTTTTTTTTAATAACTGTACATCAACTGTGACTGGTCAGTTTTTAGACCTAATTCAAAATGAAGTATTTATAATTGTGTCAATTTAAACTGTTTAATGAATGGATTTGATTGTACAACATCAGTGTTGAAAAGATTGTCTCAACACCAAAATCCTCTTTCAAAACTGGTGCTCTGCAACTACTACTTTTGAGTCATGAACGTGTTCATAAAAGACTTCCAGTCACGTAGGAGTTCATTCCTAAGGTATAATCTGGTATAACTTCATGTTGTGGCATAGAGTATCCTTTCTTGATAGGAAAAAGATAGCCTTTTTTTAGGGCTTTCTTCCATTTGATTTGTTTTTATTGATCTTCATGACAAAAGATGACAGCTACATCTTGTCTAGGTTGGTAAGTGTTGAGGACTTTTACAAGACTGTTATTGCATCAGCTTTCCTAAGCCACAGAGAGTTACTTGTCCACTTGCTTTGTTGTGCTTAAATGGTAGGCATCTGAGGTTGTGCAGAACCTGATCTGAGGAGCTTAGAGCTCTTTAAGTCACTAGAAAAGTGCTTCAAAACTGGATGCTCTTTTAGTTGAAAGAAAAAAAAATCAAGGATTTATACTTTTTAACTTGGTAACAATGCTTAGATTGTAAGCTCCTTGGGGCAGGGGCCGTCTTGATTATATTTTTGCATTCTTGAGGTAGAAGGATTCCAATTATTAAGAAAAAAATAAAGAAAACACCTTTAGGTACTTGTAACAGTATTGTAGAATACATCTTGCTTTTCATTGGGAACACCTCAAATCACAATATCAAATCTAGACTAGGGAAAAAATTAAAGCAAGATTAATTTGAAAGAGAAAATATTTCAAAGAAGGTGAAAATAGTGATGCAGTCCTGCTACACAAACAGTAGTCTGGCTGCAGCATTCTGTATCATCCCAGTGCAGGGATGGATCAAAGAACTCAAAAACATAAATTACTTGCAAAACTGGTTCATGTATTGGATTCAGGGAAAGAAATCATAATCAAAGATTTAGTTAGAACTCCAAAGAAGTATTGAGAATGATCAAATAAGCAAAATGAGTTGCCTTCAAGCAGTTTTTCAGATCATAAGTACCTTGCTCTACAGTGTTTAATTTTATTCTTTAATGTCAATAACAAGGTTATCATAAGACTTCTTGGGGATTACAACTGAAGCATATCTAAAAGCTCAATCAGTGTTTTTAAAATATGAGTGTCGATTTAGCCCTAATATCTAAAACTGGAAGAAGCCATTTGCGCAAAGTAATTCTGTATGAGCCAGAGGCTTCAGAATAAGTTTCCTTGTATAACTACTCGTTGAGTTGCACCTAATTCTGTCAAGCCTGGAATTGTCCAATGGTGCCATCAACCCCTATTGGTCACGTTTCAGATAGAGTACAATGAGTCCATGAAGGCCTACCATAACTCCCCGGCATACCTGGCCTACATAAATGCCAAAAGTCGTGCTGAGGCCGCGCTGGAAGAAGAAAGCCGCCAGCGGCAGTCGCGCATGGAGAAAGGTGAACCCTACATGAGCATCCAGCCCGCAGAGGATCCGGACGGTAAGCAGAATGGAATTTGTTTGCACGTCCAGTGAGCCATAGGATCATCATAGGATCAACGGGATAAAGAAACAGATGCCACACACAGGAAACGATCAGGATAACCTCAGTGCTTAATATGCCCCGCTTTCTATTTTATTTAGTATTTAAACTTTTTTCTTGTGATCTCCTTTTACCTTGTGCTGCTACCACCTTTGTTGTATTCCCAAAAATTAAGAGGACAAGCAAATGATAGAACTTCTAGCCTTAACTGTGTATGAAATACCGCTTATAACTCAAAAGAAACCAGCCTATTCAGAACTGCATAATGGTTTTAATATATAAACTGCAAAATGCCTAGATGCGTGCTTTAATCCAGCTAGAGTGCAATTTTGTGCTTTATTACCACATGCACATGATTCTGACACTCAAGCAGAGTCCTGACAGGATCAAAAGGACCTGAACGTTAAACGTGTTCAACAACTTGCGTCATTCAAAATTGTTTAGAAAAGAAGTTATTCTTGCTATTGACAAGTTGATGAGAAAATCCCTGAAGTTTATTTGACTTTAAGGAAATACACTCCACCCTTTGCTAGAAGTTAGACTCCTAGAAGTTAACTTCTGCTTTTAAATTTATGGTAAATGGCTGATCAAATAAACACTTGTTAAAACCTGAGGGTAAAAAATGTACTCAGGCAGTTACACCCTTCCCGACACCCCCTTTTTTTCTGTTGGTAAAAACATACCCTTTTTTAGGGTCATACCCTAAAAACATACAGCACTTTTCCCAGTGTGAGGTAACTGCAGAGTTTCTGCACATGTATGTGGTGCTTCCATAAGCTGTCATTTTGGGACTTCCAAACCCATTCTGCTTTACCTGCTCAAATTAACTCGGGCAGAAAAAACTACACTAAGTCACATCTGTTCATATCTGGGATGAAACAGCGAATTCTTTTCTGTGACACAAATGTTGGTTTTGTCCTAGCCTGCATGTCACTAGGATTAAGAAACTTAGTGTAAAAGAAGACTTTTTGAGAAGACAGTAATAGAACACTATTAGCGAGAGTAATTTGCTTAATACTTGTCTCTTGCAAATCTACTGTCTTCCCACTCTTTGTTCTCTTTTCCCTTTTAAAATTGGATACTCCAATGGGAAATTGGCCGTAACATGAAAAATACTAGGTAACTAATGAAAATGCCCTTTTTCTGGTAGCATTTTCCAGCACGTTGTATTAGGTTTCTGCTTTAGAATTTATGAATAGCGGAAGAATAATCTCCATTAGGAAAACTTCATGTAAAATAAACTCTACTTTTGGACTTTCCTACATGACAACATTCTGGAAGGCAATCCATGCCTTTTAACTAACTGATTTAATTAGTGAAATGTGAATTATACTCAGGGGAGTGTTGTCTTAAGTTTGTGTCCTCGCCAATCCTTAATGCTAATTAATCACTCTGCTTTTAATTCATGCTTCTTAGTTTGACTTGAATCTTTTGAGTCTGCTTTGTAGACAAGATCTTGGTACCAAAACTGCAGTGTGTGTTTGGTTTGTTATGTTAAAACGCTTACCTGCTCTCCTCGAACAAACAGAACGTCGCAGCTTAGGAAGACTTCCCTCTCTTCTGTAGGGTAGAAGCTTTTGAGAGCTGCTAGATATGGGGAAGCAAATTTTACAGTTTTAGATGTTATTTTGTTCTGTTTTGTAGCATGAAACTGAATTTTACTTCTAAAATGAGTTCCTAGTACTATTCATAATACAACAGGACAATGTTAATTAGTTAAATAATTTAACATGTCTTTTATCCCCAATTTAGCTTATAAGGAGACCAGCACTTTACCTATGTTCATCTGCATTTTTCTCCCAAAGTATATTTTTTTTACCTCAAAACCTGTTCTTTAGAGGGAGGGGGAAAAAATGTACCAAGAATATATTTTTTTTTTAACCAAAAAGAGAGTTAGAATGATATTCTAACATAATTATAAATTACCTGTGATGATTAGGCATATGTCTTACTACTACAGGCTTTCATTTCCCTCCAATTTAAAAGAAAAGCCTTTTTGATCTGGTGTACAAAGCTTATTTACAGAGGAATGGCTCTTAAGACTTCAGCTGTTGGTTTTGTGGAATTAAAGCAAATGCATTTAAACCTTCTGTTTCAGATTATGATGATGGGTTTTCTATGAAGCACACAGCTACAGCTCGTTTTCAAAGAAACCATCGTCTCATCAGTGAGATCCTGAGTGAAAGCGTGGTGCCCGATGTGCGCTCCGTTGTCACTACGGCGAGAATGCAAGTTCTTAAACGTCAGGTTCAATCTTTAATGGTTCATCAGGTAAAGATAAATGATACAAAACCAGCTAAACATCACGATGTTAGGCTGTACTCCAAGTCTCCTGTCATTTGATCATCTACATGACTGTTCTTGTTGCGTGTCAGTGTCAGTTCTGCACGCTCTGGGCTTGCTTGGGAGTGCCAGGATGTGAGATTTTGCCCTCTGCGCTTTTTGTTATCCCTGCAAATTAGGCTTTTTAAGTTAATCAGTCTTTTTATGTTAAGAGAATGTGTTTGAAGTGTCGGGCACATATATCTATGGGGAGTGTAGTAGAAAACACAGCACAGAGCTTGCACACTGAGGATAGTGGACTGTTGACCTGAAGTACCTCCTGCCTTTCATTTATAATACCCAGCCATCAGGAGTTGCTGCATAAACACATTTATTATTCAGGCTTTGTTAAATTTTACATGAACTTCTTAGTGATTAGGTATTAGTTCAAAGAAAACATTTTGGCGTGAGGATGTTTAACATATTACATGGGTCCATTTTAAAGTGCTGGTTTAGACATGTTTAAATGCAACAGTAAACTCTCTCCAGTGCTTGAGCTGACGCATGCTAAGCTGCTTACCAATTTCGTTTCCAGCGTAAACTGGAAGCTGAGCTTCTGCAAATCGAAGAGCGTCACCAAGAGAAGAAGAGGAAGTTCTTGGAAAGCACAGAATCCTTTAACAACGAGCTCAAAAGGGTACAACTCTTGCACTTCTCTCCACGTACTCTTAGGAACCTGTAGTTACCGGTATTTAGATGTACTCTGTCCCACTTGTGTTTAGTTCTTTTAGAATATTCACAGCTAAATGAAAGGCCATGTCCTAAATTGCATGAAGTGTGGGGGTGTCGGAAAGCATCGTGCCACGCTCCACCAGTAGTGGTTGTTTTGGGACAGTCCAATGTCAGAGCTTTCGGCCTTTGCTATTTGAGTTCTGTCGAGAGCCATACAAGAAAGTCACCTAAAGCCATCACAGAGAACGTCCTGCTCTGTCCTTGTCTCCATTCAAAAATAATAATACTACTACTAATAATGGACTAATAATAATAATGCTTGAGTTCCTGGAGCTCCTTATGTTAACCTTGTCAAATCGAAAGGATTGTGCTGCATGTAGAATGACTGAACTTACAACTGGGTTTTCATGTTTTTCAGTGTAACTTGGATAGTAATTTTGTTTTGTTTTTATTGCTAGCTCTGCAGTTTGAAGGTTGAAGTGGATATGGAAAAAATCGCAGCTGAAATTGCTCAAGCTGAGGAACAGGCTCGCAAGAGGCAGGAGGAAAGGGAGAAAGAAGCAGCCGAGCAAGCTGAGCGCAGTCAAAATAATGTAGCAGCTGAGGAAGAACAGGCAGCTAGCAAGATGGAGGAGAAGAAAGAAGAGGAGAACACTCCCATGGAGACAGGTAACTGCACGTGAAGATCAGCTTCAGAAGCTTCAGAGGATCAACATTTTATCAGTGGAGCCTCACCCTAGGCAAGAGGAGTGTCCTGCATTCTTGCTGTCCATGGCAAGAAAGGCTTATTCAGCAGGATGTTAAGAACAGTTAACTTCATTTTGGTGAACACAGGTGTTTGCTTTCTTCTCATTAAATTGTTCCCTTATAAAAGGGGAGAGGAAAGGATATCACAAGGCCTGTATGTAATGCTTAGTACATGGTGTACCCAGGAAAAAAAAAAAAGGCTTGATTTCTGAACCTTTTCTACATCTAATTCACTTTTGAGCCATCATTTAGATTGGGATTATTTTCATGAAGAGCTCTGCTGTTGATGTCGAGCGAGGATGATGCACTTCTTTCCATGTCTCTCTCATAAAATGATTTTCAAACTTCTTTATAGGTGTTCACTACAGGGACATTAGAAAAAAAATAATGTATTTAGGAGTGGCCCCCTGTCATAGCAGCATGAGCCTGAGGCAGAGCGTGCTGAGGAATCTGATTCTAGTGTTTCTGGTTTAAGGGGGCACGTTGCTTTCTCGGGGCTCTACTTAGTGTGTTTGAGGAAGACATGGCAGGACGATGCAGACATGCCAGGCACTTGGTGGTTTGCAGAGCAGTGCCTGTTACAGCACACTCTAAAAGGCAGGAATAATTGCTGTGAAGTAGCTAGAAGTGGTACAGATGTCTCTTCTTCCTCAATTCCCATTGGAAAATCTAAATAAATGTACTGGTATGTAAATAACATGGAAAAATATCTTCTTACAGAAGAGCCTCATCCAGAAGAGAGTTCAGAAAACCAGCAGAACGGTGAAGAAGGAACATCCACCCCCGAGGACAAGGAGAGTGGCCAAGAAGGGGTCGATAGCACTGCAGAGGAGGGGACCAGTGATAGCAACACTGGTTCAGAGAGCAACAGTGCGACCGTTGAGGAGCCTCCTGCAGACCCTATCACTGAGGATAGCGAGAAGAAAGAATAAATACTGACTCATTTCATGTGTCTCTTTTTAATGAAGTATTGTTTTGAGTTCAAAATGTGCTGTATGGCTTTTGTACCCTCCTGCCTGTATCATTTATCACCAAAGGATACTGGCTTTTATTAATGTGTCAGATATCAGCATAGTAGTTTAAAAGGGTCAATTAGGGGCAAAGTATGTCTTAAAAAAGAAAACATCTCATTCTTAAACACAGCCCCGCAGTAGGGAGAGATGTTATTTGAGATTTCTTCCTCTCAAAAGATTTGTGTTGGTTTTTGTCTTTACATTAGAAATCAGGCTGGTTTCTAGTTTCATGATCTCAGTGAAAATGTCTTTTCTTCGGGGCCTGTTTTGTTCCTCTGTAGCTGCTGTGAGATGTACACACGTTACTGTGTGTGCGGCGACTCAACAGTGTCGTCCAGGCTTAGCTTTACTGATGGCCTGATGTGCTCCCTACGTCTCCGAAGCCCGGCCCGTCGCACTGGCTGATACAGGGGAACATTTGCACCTAGAGATGCGTTTGACACGGGACAACTGAAGAACATTCTGCTTATAGTACCTGCTTTCCAGTTAGGTGAGGACGTCACTAATGCATCGTTTAGTTGGCATTAGTATTGAGCAAGGCCACATTACCACTTTACATCTGGGTAGAATCAAGAGCATTTCCTTGGTTCAACACCAAGACACAGCAGTGGCGGGTGTGTGATGGCTGCTGGTTCAGTTCTTCCCCGTTAGGATGTCTGCTGCCGCTGCCCCGCTCGCTCCTCGGAAAGCTTTTGGTACACGGGCAGTGCTCCTGGATGAGGCTGAGGCCCTTGCTTCCAGTCTGGCTTTCTCTTCTGTGCACTAGTTGCTTTAGAGCTAAGGAAGTTTGCTCATCCTCTGCACACAACGTCTCAGGAGGTGCCTTTCCAAGCCAAGAGCAGTCCCCTTGAAATAACCTGACTGCATTAGGTCTTAGGGTTTGGGTTTTTTCGTATGTCTTTTCAAGAGTCAATGCTTCTCTTAACGTTTAACTCTTATTTCCAGCGCAATCTCATGGTATGACCTCAGCCAAAGATACAGCAAAATACAAAGGAGGAGAGTGTTGAAACATGTTCTTTTATCTGTTGAGCTCACGCTGATGAAGTCAGTACAAACAGCGAAGAAAAAAAATAGTGGTTTTGCTTGCCATAACCTTTCAAAACTTCTGGCAATGCTACAGAAGTACTGAAAAGGCCACGTTGTACCCTGTATAAACACAAGCCCTATCTGAAGAAAAAAATGCTCTGATTACAAAAGCAGATACAAGCCGTTTCATGACTCCAACTGTAAAAGAACACGATGCATATGCTTCAATTATCTAGTATGTTTTTACTGAATAGTGGGTATATCAGATGGTAATGTTTTTTAAAACCCTTTTGGTCTTTTTTTAAATGGACTAAAAATAATAAAATCCAAAATGTGTGGGTTTTTTTAAAGTTACCGTAGTCTGATTGTTGTCTTTGAAGATAGTGACACATTCCTCAGCCTTCCCTAAGGCTGAGGAGAAAAACAGTACATGGAATTCATTATCAAAATATGTTGAATGCAAAAAGTTATGCTCCTTTATATTTCCCAGCAAGCTGTTATTAAAGCAGGCACTACAGCTTGCTTGTTGAGGTGATAAAAGGGAATGCATGCGTAGCCAGTTACAAATTAATTCCTACGGATAAAGTTATGGCTTTCTAAAATATGCAAATCTAAAGTCACTGTTTTCTGCCAAGGATTGTTTTGAGATCCCAGCGGCAGAAAATACAAAGCACAGCTGAAAACTGCAAAAGAAGTCAATGCTGGAGTTCCCTTTAACAAGCCTTTGTGATTACACAAAGACCATTTTCTGCTTGAAGCTATTGTGCAACTGCTTTTATCCGTGCAACAGCTTTGGTGTTTGAAGGCCCTGTGTGTTTTTCATCTGCTACCCATTAAGGTGTGTGTAAATGGCAGTAACTCCCGGCACAGAGGGGTGCTGTGCCCAGGGGAGGGGGGGCCCCTTCAGCGGGAAGCAGCTTTCCCAGCACATGAAAAGCCCCCAGCAGCTGCCCAGCAGACAGTGTGTGAGCCCTGGGCAATGCCCGGGGCCTGGCAGAGGTTCAGGGCTCCCTTGCAGGGGGTGCCCGCCAGGTGTGTGAGCGCTGGGGACAACGGGACCCCAAAGGGACCAAGGCGGGAGCTGCGCTGGGCCCAGAGCTGCTGCCTGGGGACTCCCCGGTGTGAGAAGTGCAGGGAACTAGAGGGGAGCGTGAGGAACTGAGGGGAGTCCACATGGACAAGGCAGAGCTCAGGGAGGGCCCGGAATACCAGGAAGGCCCTGGAGCGCCAGCACCAGCCTCCTGGAGGCCGCCTCCTTGGCCGTGCTGCTGTCACGGCCTCCTCTGCCGCGCTCCCAGTGCCTGCTCTGCAGCTCGCTGGCCACCTACGGCCTCAATTAGAGCTGCTCAAGAGCCCCAGCTCCTCGTGATGGCCTGAAACCCTCCCGGGGGAGGAAGACGGAGCAGAAAGCGCCTGGCAGCCTGTTGGGGGAAGCGGGCGCTCGGGCACCTGCCTCCTCCTGCCGCTGCTCCTTGCACACTCTGCTCGGGGAGCGGGCGCCAGCTCGGGGAGCACCGCGACGCTGCTCCCTCCTGTGCAGCCTGCCCGCGCAGGGGGGATGTGGCCCAGGAGCAGCAGCTCTGGGGGCTCCACGGGGTCCCCGTCCCTGTCCTGTCCCTGCCCTGGTGCAGACACCAGCTACGGGGACTGCAGCCTCTTTCGTGAGATCCCCGCGAGCGGGCACGACTTGTGGCCCTGGGCACTGACAACACAAGGGAGGGCTGAGCCCAAAACACTGCACGTGGGGCAGCGGTTGTTTCCGTGAGTCTGTTCTTCCTTGCAAGCAAACGACGTGGGACGGGGGGCCCTGACTTGCGCTTTTTGACCTTCGACAGCAGCCCTGCTCTGCAGCCTGCTCTAGTCTGCCCTGCAGGGTGCTTCTGGGTCTGGCAGTTCTGAAAAACGTGCCCTTGTCTGCCCACAAAAATACTCTTACTAGCAGTTATTCAAGAAGCCTAAGTTAAAAAAAAAAATTTTAAAGTTGATCATTTTTTGCACTGTGATTATGAGATTTTATCACTCTCAGAAGTCTTCTGACCTACAAAACCAAAGTGTAATAGATGTGAAATACGGAGTAGGCCCCGAGGATAAATGTACAAAGGTGTTTCAATTAAAACCATGAACTTGGCACCTTGTGAGACTTTCAAAAACAAGTCAACAGGTTAAGTGCCTCACTGGCATCAAAATATATGGGGTTTATAGATATGGGGTCTCCTCAAAACTGTGTGCACCTAAATTCCGTTTCAAAGTATGATCCTATATGTGTGGTTGAGGTTAGCTTTGAATAAAGAGTAAATCTCAAATCTTCGTGCAGCTGCCAATTAAAAAAAAAAAACTTCTGGGGCAACTAAAAAAAAACAGCCCATGTGATGCGCATTATTATTTTTTATGCTAATCCACCTCCAGCAAAAGGAGCACTTTGTAGGAGCTCTGCTTACATAAAGGATTATCCCGATGATAGGACAGAATAAAACAGATGAGTAGAGCTTTAGATGTTTAGATGGATAAAATATCAAAGTAAAACTGAAGTCAAGCACAGATAAAGGCCAGGACGGCTTCCTGAATGTAAGGAAAGATGATCTGATGTTCAAAAAATCATACTGCAATAATGCTCTGCAGTTTAGAGCAAGAAGTGGGAAAACACTATACTCAAATTACATTAAAGAGGGAGGTTAGATGGGTCAATTAAACAGCCTATCCCAGAAGAGTAGCAGTTAGGCCACCCCTAAGACATGTGTTTTTGTTGCAGTCATCAAGGCTGGGTTGTGGAAAGTTCACAGCTGGGGGTGGTGGAGCTTCTAACAAGAAGGGATGTGCTGGCAAGCAGCAGATTTTCCTGAGCTGAGACCAACAGTCTAAATAGCTTGATTCAAAGCAGGATTTGATGAGGCATTTTACCTGCTCTGAGATGTGTTTCTCTTAGCTCCCATGTGCTGTAAGTGCTGCATCTTGTATGAAATACCCTCACTTGCATCCTACTGTGTCTCATGGAGTCAACTACAGTTCCCTTCTCCTTTGCTTTTCCTTCCCTTTTTCTGGTTTTGGGCTAAATGCTGCTGAATAGTTCTTGCTTTTATTTAAAAAAAATCCAGAACTATTTAAAAATATATTAAAAATCCCTTTCAGACTGTCTATCAACATAAAAATCTCGGGTTAATGCAGTACCATTGCGAGTGCAGCAGCAGTTTCTGCTCCGCTCCTTGGCTCCCCCCTTTCCACCCTGCTCACTGATGACCAGTCAGCTGGGTTATTGAGACAACTACTGTTCCCCTGAGACATGGGAGGCAACCAGTGGGACTTGGTGGCTGCTAAGGGCTGGAGTGGCGGTGCCACAGCCGCCAGGCGTCCCTCTAAGCCTCCTGTTGACTCGTCTGCACCAAGAGGGGTTGCGGGAGATGCGGTGCTGCCTGCGGCAGCGGGCGCTGGGCAGGACTGCGCCGAGAATGACCCATGCGGCAGCACTTGTTGTTTTCTGGCTGTGACCAGGGCTCGAAACTCTGTTGTTCAGGTGTGGATTTAACTCCTCCACCTTGTAAGGCTGCTGGTTATGCTGGTACCAGAATATATTGCATGCCCTGTTGATGATTGTGAGTAGCAGTTACAGGTTTCTTGCTTAGTACTGGTTATGGCAAATGGAAATGGAATCATCGAGTAGAAACTGGACTCTTTTTCCTTTTCTTTTGCCCAACAAGAAAGAGCAGTAATGAAAAATATTTCCCTTAAAACAGAGGGAAAGCTTTGTGCACAGAGCAAGGTCTGCTCTTTTCACTGAGGAAAAGGGTCTGAAGCAAGCAGCCTGGAATGCCTTCCTGTGCTGCAGCAGAAGATCCAGGGGTCTGTGTCAAAGGGAAGGCTCAGTCCTTCCTACCTGTTCTCAGGAAAGCGCTGGTGGATGGAGGTTTGAGCCTCTTTGTGTCCTGCTCCACAAAGCAGAGCCCATCTGGAGTCACATCCCTGCACAAAATACAAAGATTCAAATATAAACTAGATGCTTTTTTTCCCCTTATTTTTATTTTTTTAAGCTTATGTTGGAGAAATGTAACCAAAATGAAAACATTCCTAAGCATCAGCCAAAAAGTTTGGGTGGCCTGAATGTTGAAAAAGCTCCACTAAAAATATTCGTATAGAATATATCTTTTCATCTCCAATTTTAAGTACAAGAACTATCCGCCTGAAACCCCGGCGGGCGCCTGGGGCCATAAAGGATCGAAGAGGCCGCACGAGAGCCCATCCTGCTCAGGATCCAAAGGGGTTCGCGCCACCTGATCGCAGTTTTGAATAACAAAGAGTTTTCATTCCCATATTTGCAATCCCTCCTAGGAATGCCCAGCATGACTGAAATGGTGATTCTGCAAGTCTCTCCCGAATGGAATTTGTAGAGAGAACTATACTGAGATTGGCCACTAGACTACAGGCTTTAAAGATGAATCCTTTCTTTCTGCTCTATCTCACTGTTTTTGTTCTCAGTTCCTTTCTTTCGACACTCTTTTTCACTGTTTTCAGGGTATGTGTGGGGGGGGAGTGTTGGGGTTTTTTCCTTCTTCTTTGAAGTGGTTTTGCAGTTATCTGGCTGTTGTCTTACTTTGTTTAAGCTATCATGTATAGCTTCGCTTGCCACTTACAAAAACTTGTACTTTTTTTTTGAACAGCTGCTTTCAGTTTGCTGAAAAATCTATTTTAAAATCCTGGCACCTATTCCAGGGGAGCTAGGGGAGAACCAGAAAGGGTGACAGGAAAAATGCAAATATGACAACCAATTTGTGACCCCAGGGCGTCACCTGCAGCATGTGCAGAGCCAGAGCAAGCAGCAGGCTGGGGCACTGGCTCGTTGCCCAGCTTTGCACCTCCGCAAGCTTCCCTGCTGCCCCGGCACCCGCCTGCCCTGCTTGCTTCAGTCCTTGGGTGCATTGGCCTTGTTCCAGTTCAATTCTTGCACAGCAGATGCAATTCTGATCAAATTGTTGATGTTTTCTTGCAAAAAAAAACAGAACTTGGAGAAAGCCACCATCCCCGCTATGATGCAGGCAGGGAGAGGGGGGAATTCTCGGTGACACCAACTGGGTGGTGGACACAGGGACAGCGTTCAGGGCAGCGACCGCGGGCAACCGTTCGTTCTTGAGGCAAGCGAGCGAGTCTGCTCTGCAGATGACTTCCTCTATTGGGTGGATAAGAATCTTTTAATAGCCTCCTAGTGAGATCATAATCATAAGATTCTGCAGGGAAGCCCCTACAGCTCTGTAAGAACTCTTGTTCTTGAAGAATCCCATCTCACTACCACTCTTTAATGTCAGGAATTTACTTAAATTTTCACTTCTGCTATTTTGTCTGCTTGAAGACCTCCCTGGAGTAAACCTACTGACTTCAGCAGAGGAACCTTCCCTCTGTGTCTCTGAAATGCCAGCCCGGTGGCTTTGGGCTGGACAGGGGTACGTGGGCAGAAGACTGAACTGGGAGATTCCAGGGACCTTAGCTTTGTACTGGGGCTTGTCTGGCTGGCAAAGCAGCGGGGACATCGTGATGTCAGCATGATGCAAGAGCAGGGAAGCTACTGGGAAGTGGGTACTTGAGTTCCCTTGTAACTCACCAGTGCTTCTGTCTTTGTGACCCTGGTCTTCCTCAGGTAATGTGGAGGAATCCATCTGTGGATCCATCCATGGCTTAGATCAGCTACAGAACAGGAACATCCCTGGTACAGCGTGGGCTGAGTGGAGTTTTCCTTTAGTGCTCCGTGCTGTCTTCTCCTGTGGCAGAATGCAGGGAACACAGGAACAGATCAGAAGCTGGCAAGGCACCTCTAATACCTAAACTTAGCCTATGTTTTATTTCAGTTTTATGAAAAATCTTCTGCTGATACTCAGCCTGCAGTTGGATTATAGTCATTTTGGGTTTTTTCACCTGAAGCTGTTTGCCAATGCTGCTCGCTGGGCCCTGTTTGAGCTGGATCCAAGCGAAGCTGGATGGAATTTCCACCCACTGATAAATATTTACATGTCTGCTAAAATCTCAGTTCCATTAACGCCAAACTAATGAAAGATGCAGGAAAGCTTTGACTTGGGGACATGAAAGCATCTTATTTGGTGCCGCTGCAGAATGAAGCTGCACCTGCTCAAGGTACCATAGAGCCTTCTGAGTTCCACTTGGTAAGGTTCTACCACAGCTCCTCCATGCAGCCTGTGCAGGCTACCCAGGCACCGTCTGCTACGACGCGCTGTGAAACCCCTGACTGACTTAGATGAAGGAGGGGCTGCAGGAAGTCTGATCTTACAGACTAGGATATGGATGTGAAATATGTCAACTAAATTCCCATGAGATATTTCATCACTGAATGAGTTGCAATTCAATGTTAAATCAATTCAAAATAACATCTTTTGACTCGGTTCAGCAAATTTAGTGTTTCGTTTTGTGTAAAACCAACCTGAAATGAAATCTTTTACTGAGCTGATTTCCTGTGGAATTTATTGGGAAATGCATTTTCTTTTGAAAAGCAATACTGATGAATAATTTCAATGTAGCTCTAACACTAAAGTGTTGGTAGCAAATTGTACCACTCCTTTTCTTGCAGTGGTACACAGTAATAAATCAAGTTTCTAACAAGATATCCATGGATTCAGATAGTTTCCGTCTTGAATTTTTTTTTTTTTACAGTTAACTTGAATTTTAGGATGCAGAACATAGTCTCCTGTGAAAACAGCACAAGGCGATGATTAGGCCAGGCTCTGTTGAGTGTATTATGTCTGAATGTTCATGGACACTCACCTTCTATCAAAAGATAGCTCGCGTATCAGGAAACACCTATCAAAGGGAGTCTGTCGAAGACACAGAGCCATTAAAGCACAGTCGCAATGGACTGCAAATAGGCCATCCAAATTAAACCAACTTCAATAAATGTTTTAGAGCTATCCAGGTACGAAACACTACTGCTCCAAGAAGATTCAGTAACATAAACCCACTGCAAGTCAATATTTTAAAAATTTCCAGCTGTGTTTTCAGGAATATGATTTGCTTAAATGACCAGGCTCTGACAAAACACAACTTAGCATGTACCAAAACTCTGAAGCTAAAACTTGTGAACACGTACAGAATATTTGCAACTACCTGCAAAGCTTCTTTCCTCTCATTGTTTTCTGGCTTCAGTCCCCATGGATTTCGTGATATCTTCACTTAGACACTTAAAGCCTGGTCCTCTTCTGAGAACTGTAAAAGAGTTAAATCAGGGAGGGGGTTGTGTCTATCTTTACCCACCACCCCCACAGACAGCACAATGTCTGTTTGAAGACTTTACACCCACTATTTCTAAGTATTCTGCTGATACCTGAGAGAAGCCTTTGATCTCTAGCCCTATCTCAGGGAAGTGGTTAACTCGATCTCTCCAAGGTAGCCTACCTGCCTCGAGAAGGGGTGAACGAAAAGCAGATCCAGCGAGAGCCACAGAGCTGTGAAAAGCACCTGCCTGCAGAGCGAGGTCAGGAGCATGAGTGCTCAAACACGCTCGTGTGCGCTTAGGCAATGCTAAGGAAACTCTGCGGGTCACCTTCTGGGAAGCCTGATGAAAACACTGATAGTCTCCAGTGCTGGTTCTTAGCGCGCAGGGCAGTTACCTGGGGGGAGAAGCTGGCCCTGGGGGATCACAGAGCTGCCTTGGCCCAGCTTGGAGGGCACATGAAGTACTCCAGAAGGGGAGCAAGACAGCTGTGGTCCTACACAGCGAGAAGGTACTTAAGAGAAAATGGGACTGAAACAAAGCTTAGATGGGTCTGAAACTGTAAACGGATGTTCATATAGGATCTAAATATATTTGTATATATTGTATAATATTGTAAGTAAATATGTAATCTTTAAATTGGTTTATACCACCTAGATCTAAATCCTTTAGCCTTCAATTCTCTCTCTCTCTTGCCCGTAAAAGAATTAATGTGACATAGATACTGGATTTGCTTTGTTTTGAATTCGCTGAGGCTGAACAGTGTCTTTTTAGGTGCTTCCCAATCACACAAAATTGCCCAAGTTTCATTCTCTTGTGAGACTGGTCTTTCCAGCTAGTTTTGGCAGTTCTCTGCTCAGTGAGCTGGCTGATTTGAGTCCATCCCACACTGTTAAACCCTCTTTGCACCCTAGGTAGGACATGTGGGTGCCTAAGTGCAGCCCCAACGTGCCACTCGGTACCATTGGGCCTGTTAGGTGCTATAAGCTCCATCTCAGATTTGTCCTGTCATGCTTTATTTTTCCATCTCTCGAGGCTGCAGCAACAGTATTGCCATACCATAAGAGGAAGATGCACAGGTCAAGGAGCTAAAACACAGGTGTACACGTATGCTGACAGAGCAACGACAGCATTTGCAGTATCCCCAACCGAAAGGCTGTTTTCTATAGTATGTACCTGTGTATGTGACAGCCCTTAATAAGGCTGTTTGGAATTGAAGCCTCCAGCAGGAATTCTCCCACCAAGGAGTGAGGAAGGAGCTGCTGATGCTTGTTACACCTCATCGTTAGAGCAGTGAGCTGCAAGGCAGCTGTCCAAGCTGGACAGCCACAAACCAAGCTTTATACTGAAGTCGCATCAGCTCCGGAACAAAGACTACCCAGCAGCATCTACTGTGAGAAGCAGAAATAGCAGAAGAGCCTTTCCTCTTGTCCCGTTACCACAATTATAATTCTCATGTGTCAGTGCAAAAGCAGAACCTGCCTGGGTTACTGCGTCCTCGGAGCATATGAGCGCGTGTGGTTTCGACTTCAGCCTCCTGCGCTGAGGAAGAACGTGAACACGCTGAGTGCTTTGAAGAGGCTGGGGCACGTAGCTCAGCTTTCCTGTACCACTGAAAGCACAAGGAGAAAGAGGAGGGTCTAGCAAATGTCAGCGACGCCAAGGCATGTCATGAGCCTCGTGCAGAGGGGCAGGAAGTATAAAATGCAGAGCCTCCCCCGAGAGCCCGTGGCAGGAGCCACGGGGAGCAGAGGCTGCGCTGGGACGTACGATGCTCGCGCTAGTCTTGTGATTTCAGGGCTCTCTGAAACAAGACCATGGACAGTGGTGAGTACACACGCTGCAGCTTCTGCCTCTCCCTTCAGCTTTAATAACGAGGGTAATGCCTAAATTCACATTGAATGACACTGGAACGCAACAGAATTTATTTTAGTAGAGTATTTAAATGATGTAGAATAAAACATTTCCATCTTCCTCATATTATTTTTTAAAAAATCTAAACAAAATCATCTTTTTGTTTTTTCAATCTTAAAAAAAAATCTACTTCAGAAACACACAAAAAAAATACATTTGCAAAGGAGACTTCAAGGAACTCTTTTGTCCCAAAGCAAATTAACTCCTCCTGTACCATTCATAGTTTCAAAATGTTTCTGTTAGTGAGAAGGCAGCCATACAACTTTGACCCTTTGCAAAACTTAATTCTGCATTTGTTCATTGCTGCATTCCACCTGGATCTGTATTTCCATGATTTACCCATCATCATGAACAAACGTGCAAGAGAATTGTCTGTTCTGTAGTGCATGACATCCCCCTAGCCCAGAAGGCATAAGCCTCACAGCTTGTTTATGTATCTTGCTGAAAGTTTCAGGCTTTCTTTAGTCATTTATTGTTTTTTCACATGTAGTGCTCTGCAGCTTGAGTAGGTGGAAAGCTGTAGGAGGGAATGGCACTGTGGGTCAGAGATGCGATGGATAAGATGGACTCTTATTTTTCTCTAAGACTGTTTACTCTTTTTGACTGGTCTTATTACCTTTTTGCTCCAGTATTTGAAAAATATAATTCCAGCAAATGAGGGTGGTGCAGGGAAGAAGAAATGAAGCAACTCAGGGAGTTGAATTAGTTCATGAACAGAGCTCATAATACGACCGATACCTCTCTCTGACTGAAAGTACGGTTAAAGCTGTAACAAGGGTGAGTGTGATGGGACACTGGTCAACAAGTTCATTCCAGTAAAGCCAGGCCCTGGAAGTAGCAAGTTGAGTCTTGCAGGGGGGCAGGATGGGGGGTGCTTCTACCTTTTCTCTGTGGCATTCTTTAAATCAAAGCTTTGAAGTTATTAGAACTGTAGAGGCTCCCTTGCGTGTTCCCAGTGCTGCAGCAGCCAGCATCATCTCATGTTATGGCAACGCTGTTGGCTCTCCAGGCAGGACTTTCTCCTCCTGGAAAGTCAGCAGTGATTCCTGAATTAGGAAGTGGAAGCTCACGGTCACCCAACCTTTGAGGTGACAGTAGAGAGAAGTGGAGGAGGCAGGAGCAGGAGAGCCCTCCTGCTCAGTGTGAGAAGGGGATTCACCACGTGCACAAAGGTGCAGAGGTCCCAGCTAGCCCCTGGTCTGTGGAAAACCACAGTGTTATGTGTGAAGAACCATCCCTTGCATATTCTGAATAGGGATGAATGACATTCTGAAGATGGTTCAGAATATAGCATATTCTGAAGATGGACGTACTGGGTCCCATAGGATACAACACGGAGAATGGACAGAGTGAGTCTTCCCATGGCTGCGTCTTCACTGCTTCTAGCAATCAATGGTTTAGCAAGGTCCTGAAGGAGAAGCTGCACCCAAACAAAATCATCTCATAAGTCAACTGGATCTATTCACCACAGATTCATCTTTGTGATGGAATTTAAACATTTAACCCATGCAGCATCATCTGGCTGTTTTGGTGTTGTTCATTTATTTTAAGGTACTCTGTATTTAGGGGGAGATGGCTGTTATTTTGAGGAGGGTTTTAGGTTTTGGTTAACTGGCAAAGGTTAATTATGATAGAAAAAAAAAAAGAGAGAAAAAGTAGAATGTCACAAAAAGAATAGGATATTCCTGCTTTTTGACCTACTATTGAAATTCAGCAGAATATTTCAAAACATTTCTAGGAATGTGAAAATACCTGGGGCAAATGCACAGCATGACTGGGCCTGGGGTTTTGTTTGTTTGTTTTTCTACAGCAATATTGGAAATGCATCATCAGCTCCTTCAAGAATGATTTTTTTTTTAATCTGCTTTAGCTTGCCTTTTGATTCACAATTTCCTTAAAGGGGTAGAGAAGAACAGTTACCAACTTTCTTCTGTAACAGATCTATGAGTGCATGAAACAAAACTGACTTAGCTTCACTGGGCCTTTTTCACTCCTGAAATGAGGGTCTCCTTCCTCTACTGGCTGTAGGAGAAGAAAAAAAAAAAAGGGGGGGACAAAGTTGGGGGGCAGAACATGCACCGAGCTGCTAACTGCCAAAAGTCATTATATTATTTAAATATGATTAATTCTTCTCAGAAATAACGGTTGCTTTCCCCCAAAGGCTGCTGATGGTGGAGGCACCAGAAACTGGTACATGAGTAATGATCTACACAGTCCGTTACTCACTAGAAAAAGGCCTGCTAAGGTGCTGAGATTGAAACTTCTGTTTCACAATTTTGACCAATATGAAAAAAAGTCTCACCCTGCGGATTCAGTCAGAACAGGTCTGCTCAACGGTACCAATATATTGAAGTATTCCTGAGAATGTGAATCCAGTGACTGCAGCTCGCTGCTGCTCACTGTGCACTCCTCAGCATTGGCACTGGGGTGACCAGCTGCCCCGTGTGCGCAGGGAAGCGGCTGCCTGCGGAGCGGGAGCACCTTCCTTGTGAGGAACAAACCCCAGGATTCACTCCATAGGATTCTGGGCGTACCTGTGGGGCTCGCTTGGACTGCTGCTGCTTTTATCCTGCTTGAGATCGGTTCCTGCAGCTGAAGGGATAGAAACTGTATGGAATTTATCTGTCCAAACTTAATGCTTACCTTCCAACATAGCATGAAATGAATTCCATTTCAGACATTCACCCCAGACAAGTGAACAGTGCCTTAAGCATCTGTTTTTCCCTTCCTTACCAAGTGAGTCTTAGCAATCAGGTGTCAATGGCTAAAGTTAAGTAAGGTGAATCCCTCTCCATGTGCTTGTTCTGGGGAAGCAGGGAGAGATTTTCAAACATGACTAGAGGCTGCCCCAACAGTCCTTGCCAGGACAGGGCTCTTGAGGCTGGGAGCAAGCCTGGGTATACTCTGTTGGAGAGAGGGAGGCATGAAACAGGGCTTTGGAGCCTATCTTGCCCCATTCACTGTAACTGGGCTTTTTTAAGTATGACTGCCAGTTGTACAGTTTGTGGGGACTTTTGAGAGGGGAGTTTTTCTTAATATTTTGAGGAACGAAACTTTAGGAAAATACCTAGAGTTAAGAACTGCCACAGGCTTAAAAAAAAAAAAATTAAAAAAGAAAAAGAAATTGCCTATTAAACTCCAAAGTGTGTCTCATTTCCTCTCTCAGCCTATCTGCGCTTGCCAGGCTCCTCCCTCCCCCACAGCCCTGGCCTAAGCACAGGGCAGGGAGAAGCAAGCTCAGTCCAACCTGCCCAGAACCGGTGACACAGGGACTTGCTCAGCAGGAGCAAGGCAGGACCATGAGGTTCTACAGCCCCTCTAGTAATCTATTTGCAAATGCGTAACATGAGGTGAACAGGGGAAATTTCTTATAGCGAAAGTCATATGACATTTAAGATTTCTGAAACAGCAACGAAGAAAATATTTAAAAGCACAACCAATTGGTGAAACTCCCCAAAGGAAGGATACTTAGCTGAACTGTTTCAGGCTCATTAGTTGAGTCACTGTTATCAGTCCTGTTTTGTTACCCACTCCATCATGTGTTTAGAGAAAGAAAAAAAAAAAGAAACCCACGCCTCAGGAAAGAAAAAAAGAAATCCACGCCCTGAGGCTTCACACACAGGCTGCTCTGGTCAGTGAGGAGAAGGGGAGATGTAAAAAACTCAGAACAAAATGTTACTGTTAATGCTAAGCTCTCTAAAGCACCATGCTGGTACATTGGTCTGGCACTAGGAGGCACCATGGCTGTGTCCTTTGCAGTAGATAATTTAAAAAAATATAGCTGTTAGCAATGCACTGATGGACCAGCATTTATGCTGGTCTCTCTTCCCAGTTGGATGGGTCGCGCAGCATTCTTCTCTGCCACCATCATTTTATAAAACTTCTAGAAACTTAATTACTTTTGCATCTGCTCAACATGGTTGAGACTGGCCAGCAGAGGTAACAGTTACCAGGCAGATGCACCAACTACAAAAGCCTTTAGAAACCAGCTTATTAGAAAGGTATAACAGAAAATTAAAGACCCCAGTGGGTTTGCAGGGTCAGGATCCCCATGCCAGTGTCCCTGTCGAGAAGGCAGTAACATTCTCAGCTAAATTCACCCAGCAGGTTTGGGTGGTTTGGGGTTTCAGTGTTTCCTTCGTGACATGCGTAGCTGAAATAAGCAGCTTGGGGGGAGAAATGGCTAAATCAGGTGCTCACTAAGCTTCTTCCTGCAGCCTGGGACTGCACAAAGCAAAAGGCACTGGGCAAGCAGAAAATAGGGATAATCTTGTCCAAGGATAATCTTGTCCAAGGTACCTTGGCACTCCCTGCTCCTCACTGCAACCCTCACTAGTGACACATGACTACACGTGAGGAGGATTTGGATAATGTGAGGGGCAGGGAGGTAACTAAGCTCCCAGCTTCACGAGGCAGGATGAAAGATGAAAGCATAGGGGAGGCTCAGACTTCTAAGAGGCATCGTGGGTAACTCACATAAAGGCTCTAGGGGAAAACGTGTGCAGCTGAGGATCTTCTACCTTCACCATTCACATATATATGAGTATCTCTGAGCACAGATGCCAAGATAACTGCTTCTATTATTAACAATGCTATAGCAGGCAACTTAAAGCAGTTCTTACTAGAGATAGGACAGCAAGAACGACAGTTACCTGAAATTGAGGAAAACAATCCTTTCGGTCCAGTGTAACACAGGACATCAGCACAGCAGGGAAGGATGCAAAGGCATGCTGCAAAGAAATAGATAACAAGCAGTTATCCAGAACAGAGGTTTTTACAACAGACTGCTGTGCTGAGAGGGGCAAAGCAATCAGGCAAAACTATGAACAAACAGGCTTAACACCCAAGCAGGAGGCAGCAAGGGCTTTCTCTGCATTGCCAGCACACCTAACTCAAGCAAGAAAGTTTCAATTCCAACTGCCTGATGTAAAGGCTGATACGTGCTTTAAATAGAAGAAAAAGCTTTCACTGGCCTCTCTGCCTTGGCTAACCACAGGAAGAGCTGCTTGTCTGAGATTGCTCTCAGCATTATCACATCTGGCTCCAAATTTCATTTTCCCCCCAGCTGTCAGCATCCAATATCTCTACATCCAAAGACAGCTGAAGCCAGCCCTGACATTTTGAGCTGAATAATAAATCCCAGGCAGCTCCAGTTACGTATATCCTGTGGGGAGCAGAGCTTTCCTGTTCTGCAGCCCAGTTACCACACTGCCAGGGAACAGCTGGGCCGTTTGTTGCTCACACAGCTGTTTTTACATGCATTGAGTGTGCTACACCCTCAGAACCTACAGCAAGACACAGGCTGACTAGAAAAATAGCAATGGGTGCAAGAGTGAACGGGCTCTTTAGCTCCCAGCTTTTCTTTATGGGCCTGGAGGCTCCTCAGACCGAGTCCATGCTCTGACAGTAAATTGTCACATTACTCTGGCTTAGTCCCATAGCACCTTAAGTTTGTTTAGGCAGCTGAGAGGAGCTTAACAGTGTTGAGAACGCCCTGATGAGTGTGTTACTGCTGCACATTATTGCTCTTTTAAAACTTAGCTACATTTTCAAAGGGTCATCACATGAAAACCTCTGCTGCCCTGCTAACAATAACACGGTGTCTCTTTTTCTTCTAGGCAAGTGGATAAAGTTTACCGCTGTTTTCAGCCTTCCTCTAATTTTTCAGGTAAGATGTTAGAAACAATGTGATTGAAATGTAGCTATATTTGCTTTGTGGGTAAAGAGAGATTTTGGAAACTCTGACAGATCAAAAGCAGCTGCCTACAGTGCTGGAGAGACCTGTGGGGGATGCTGCTTCTCACACCAAGAATCCAGTCATGCGTGGAGGGGGATGATGTGAAAGCAGAGAGCAGTGCTAAAAGCCAGAGGGAAGAAGAAAAAAAATACACAGAACAAAAACAGAAAGAAAAAGAGAGTTTCATAGCCCAGGATTTCAGGATATCCTTGTGTGCCATTCTGATACCTAAATTAAGATTTTCAGGAAAAAAACCAACAGCATCATTTCCTGAATACAAGGGAGAACCTGGGTTATTCTTTTAGGAAAGATCTGGTCAAAGCACCTTGGCCTCTGCAATTTAGCTGAGGTTAGTAATGAAGAACTGAAATGTGCAAAGAGGAAGAGTTCCGTTGCCTTGAATTCCACGTTCATCTTCCTCCTCTCCGCTCTGAATCAACCCAAGGCTGGAAAGAGGACCCAAAGCACCACGTCGTGCTGTGACCTGCTTCTGAACCTCGGGCCTGGCCCCGGGCACCTGCCCTCCTGCAACCGCAGGGCGGCCGGGAGCAGCCCCGGGCCGTGGTGCGGGCTCTGCGGTGCCCAGCGAGGCGGGCGGCCGCTCTTCCCTTTCACTCGGGTGGCAGGGCGCCAGCTCACGCGCAGGATGTGGGGAGCGCCGAGCGCGCGCCCCAGCTCGGGCAGCCCGTGACACCAGGCAGAGACATCCAGAGGAAACCTTTCATCTCTAGGCACTGGAGAAAGGGCACTGCACACTAATAAGGCACAGGAAAGCAGGGCGCCCGCACCGCAAGCTCGCTCTGCCCTGCGGATCAGGGCAGTGTAGGAGGATGAAATAAGAATAATCAGAGCTGAAATCAGGGGCCTGGATGAGATACCAGCAGCGCATGCCCGTCAGCACCGTCACAATTTCCTACTGCAGTCACTGCATTTCGTAAGCGCTTCACTGACACCTCTCTTTAGCAGAGGAAGAAAAGCCAAAGGAGGCTCTGGCTTTGCGTTCCCACGGAGCGCTCTGCTCACACTCCTGCCTCTGCTGCTGCTCTGCAGCCTTGCTCCTCACTGCAAGCGAGCAAATGGGCCAGGAAGGCTCGCGGTGCCCGGCTGCTGTTGGCTGCAAACACAGCAGTTACCCCCCTGCTTAGCTCTTTCACTACTGGAAAGTTCACATGGAGAACAGGAGTGCACTGGGAGGAGGGACAAAAATACAATTATAAAATGCCTACTGAGTACAGTCAGTCAAGAAGAAATGGTGTTCCTTCCAAAGCAGAGAACAATGAAGTAGGTATTATTTTTTTCCTATTTTATCTGACAATCGACTATGTTTATATGGCTGCATTTGGGTCCTGAAACATACTCAAAAATTCATCTAATTGGTGAAAGTTTTCAGGTGTCACTTGGGTTGAGCACTAATTTCCCACTCCGAACCCCAAACCCCACATACTTATGGCAAAAGCCTGCATGCAGAAATGCTTGGAAATTCCCTGGGATTTTTCTGCCTTTTGTTGGTTGGACACTCCTGCTTGGTTTCCTGCCAGCTTCAGTCCACATCCTGGAACAACTCATGGGAGGGGAAAGGTTGTGCATGCAGAATACCCATGCCAATGCATTTCTCTCTCTTGCTGGTTCTAGTTCTGCTCTGGGAACAACGTTACTGATGACTATGACCCTAACACCACCATCGATTACACTCTCTTCGAGACCCTGTGCGAGAAAGAGGAGGTCCGTACCTTCCGTCGTACCTTCTTCCCAGTCATGTACTCTTTCATCTGCTTCATCGGGCTGCTGGGGAACGGGCTTGTGATGCTGACCTACATCTACTTTAAGAGGCTCAAGACCATGACGGACATCTACCTGCTGAACCTGGCCTTGGCAGACATCCTCTTCCTGCTGACCCTCCCCTTCTGGGCCACAAGTGCAGCCATGTACTGGTTGTTTGGGGAGTTTGCCTGCAAAGCCGTCTACTGCATCTGCAAGATGAGCTTCTTCAGTGGGATGCTGCTTCTCCTGTCCATCAGCATTGACAGGTACTTTGCTATTGTTCAGGCTGCCTCCGCCCACCGTTTCCGGCCCCGCATGATCTTCATTAGCAAGGTCACGTGCATCCTCATCTGGCTCCTTGCCTTCATCCTCTCCATCCCAGAGCTGGTTCACAGTGGCATAAATAACTCAGACGACCATCCGCGTTGCTCTATCATTGCTACTGACTTGCAGACATTCAGCACCGGCATCAAGGTGTCCCAAATGGTTTTTGGCTTCTTATTTCCTCTAGTCGTCATGTCTGTCTGCTACTTCATCATTATCAAAACATTACTCCAGGCCCGCAACTTTGAGAAGAACAAAGCCATTAAGGTCATCATTGCTGTGGTAATAGTCTTCCTCGTCTTCCAGCTCCCCTACAACGGGGTCATGCTGGCCAAGACCATCTCAGCTTTCAATCACACCAGCTCGTGCGAGGAGAGCAAGAAGCTTGACATGGCAGACGACGTGACCTACAGCCTGGCCTGCTTCCGCTGCTGCCTCAACCCTTTCCTTTACGCTTTCATTGGCGTCAAGTTCCGCAACGACCTCTTCAAGCTCCTCAAGGAGCTGGGCTGCCTGAGCCAGGAGCGCCTCTGGCAGCTCTCTGCCTGCCGGGACAGCAAGAGGTTTTCTGCAGCCATGGAGACAGAAACAACCACCACCTTCTCCCCGTGAGAGCAGGTCTGCAGGCAGGCACTGACTGAGCCGAAGGCCGGCACGTTTCAAGCCACAAATGTTGTTTTTACCCTATGTTCCTACAGACACAGAGACTTCAATAAAGCCATGACTAATACTTAGGCAGAGGCGGGGACACTGTTGGGTGTAAAACTTACTCGACCATTTGACCTTTATCTTAGTCTTGCCTAGGTGAAGCGAGAAATGGTCAAAATGGAAGTTCTTGAAACAGTAAATAAGGCAGCAAGATGTTCGTGCAACACAGCTGCCTGTTTCAGAGCTCCCAGGAGCATCGGCCTTGCTTTCAGCGTTGCCCCTACCGCTGCCCCCTGCTCTCCCATGCCCGCGAGCGCTGCGGCCGCGCTGGCCCAGCCTGCCAGGGGAGGCAGCAGCCCCAGGCCTGACAGAAGCTCCGGCAGCCCAGCACGCAACTCCCAGCTCTGCCTCCCCGCCTCCACAGTAAGGGATTTTGCCATGAGCTAAAAGCAAGCAAGAAAATACATTTTGCTCTGCATTACTTGTCTACCTTGATTGATACCACCCAATTGTTTAAAGCCTGTTATTTTATAATGCTAATGTAACATAAAATAAATGCTGCTTGTCATATGAAATGGGGGAGTTGAGACTGACACAGAATAGTCATTTGTTCTTGCTTTGCTCCTATAGTCCCTACTCAGGTAAGACACACAGCCAGAACTTAGCAAGAGTTAGGAGTACTTATAATACAGACTCTTCTTGGTTTTATCCCTCAGTAACAATATATTTTTAATGAATAATCAGGTATGCAAAGCTGCTTTTCATAAAAGATAAATGTGTACACAGCTGTGCACTGAAAATGTATTGCTTTAACTTACTCCAATAACAAAATCTGCTTCACACAAACATGCAATTGTATTTATATCTTGTCTGATAAAAACCTCCTCCGCAACCTGAGAATGCCTTAGGTCTTTATCAACTAGATATACCATTCATAGGAAAAAAAATAAAGCAGTTGCTTATGTAAGAATGAGATATTAAAGCACAGGCCTTAGATACTTGCAAAAAAGCGTGACTGGAAATTAGTATGAGGCCTACTACTCATCTAAAGAAATCACATGATGTAAAGGCATTAGTCCCTCCTGAACAAAACAGTGGTGACTTCAAAGTGAAAGTCGGTCTCAAAGCAAAATATTAACGGCCAAAACAAACTTGTCAGTTACTTAAGTCAAAATTAAAATGATTTACCCAAGCTCCTAACTTGAGATTCCTCATGGAAGCCTCAGAATTGACTGTATTTTGCTATTTCGGGAAAATAAATTGTAACAATTAATTAAAAAAAAATAGAAAAACTACTTTTTCTCCCCCACTCCTTGCATTTTCTCCATAAAATGTAGCTTACACACATTCTAGCAGTCTGCATCATATCCTTCTGGTCCTGTCAAGAACATGTTTGTGCTCAATCTAGCTTCATATCAGTATTGCCCTGCAGAAAAGAGAAAAACATGCTAAACATCCTAAAAAAAGTATTTTCTCTGTTAATGAATTATACAGTAAACAGGTCAGTGAATTTACAATAGGGGTATTTTTCTTTATTCTAAGCTTAACACAATTGTTGTAATGCTGCTCCAGTAATGGACACACTGATGGCTTCCTATCTATGTTTACATGAAAACATTTGTACTGTAACATTTTATTGTTCATTTTAATTAAAAAAAAAAAGTAATGAAAATATATGACTGTGCAAACTGTTCATAGAGGGAGGCACTGACCATAATTCTCAAGGCCAGAGCATTTCCAGAGTGTAGCTGCCACCATGCTAGTTCCAACAGCTCTGCAGCTTAGCCAGGCCAGCATGACATGATTAACATCTTCCTGATCTCTGTGGTTAATTTATGTCTCAAAATACAGGAACTGTCGATATCCTGTATTAAAAGCTCACCTAAACTGCCAATGTGCTCATCTCAACTTCACCATAATTCTGTAATAAGCAAGCAGAGATCCCTTTGTAAAATATCATGCAAAACCAAAAGCACGAGGTGCTCAGTTCCACCTCTTAATTCTATCACTGGAAGTGACATATTCTGAAAAGCCAATATTATTGCAGAAAATATTCAACTGCACACATCTCACTACAAGGGTGCAGGTTACACAGTCACAGAACACAAGTGGTTGTGAACGAAGTCAAATTTGACCATATTAGAGCACCCACTTCACACTAGCAAAGAGCACAAGTGTTTTGTGAGTGGAAATTGTTACCAATAACAGCAGTTTTGAAGTGTTGTCCAGGAACGCTTTGTACTCGCAGGGTGTGAGCTAACTCCGCGCGCCGATCTCCAGAGCACGTTTGGAACCTGCCAACAAAAACACAGGAAACGGGTGCATCATTTTTAAGACAGCTTATGCTCCCTGTCAAGTCCAAGGCACAAAAATCTGAGCCAATAATAGATTTAAAGCACGCAGATACAACCCTGCATTAAGCTCATGCTGATGTGGAACCGTTCCCTTCGAAGCAACACAATGCAGGGCTTCCCCTTACACCACAGAAATGATGCACCTAAATCCCATGAAAATAAACCATTTTGCCACTTTCTCCTGGGCTCCTAGAATAATCCAAGGCCTCGTGTTTGTCTGTAACAAATAGAAGCCATGAGCCACATACTTAGCACCCCGGAATCAAGAAAAGGAACCTCAGGCTACACCAGAAGACATGATAAACATGGAGTTTAGGTTCGAGTACCAAAGCAATACGGATCATTTCTGCTTTCACTAAACAGTGTGTGCCAGTTTCTCCCTAGAGAGAAAGTACCAGACTAGTTTCAGCATCCGGACCAGAGGTTCGAGCAGCGACGATGAGGAGCATCAAGACCACAGCCCCGCAACGCTACTGGAGAAAATAAAAGTCTAAAACCAAAACTTTTTGAATAAACATTAGATCTCCTTTACCACAACTAGGTCAGAAGGCTCAACTGCTCTACGTCCAAGCAGCTCATTTGTGCAGTAGATGCAGTCTGCTGAACAGGAGCTCTGAGCTACAGCAAGCACAGCAATCCCAGCTTTGTTAAATGAATATGGCAGCTTTTGACATGCTCCCTATGCTTCTCAGACAACTGTAAACCAAGCTTTTTTTACAGGAAAAACCTGTAATTTTAAGCAACACAGGTTCCAATGCACAACTCCGATTCAAACTGGTAGGACCCAGGTCACCAAGCAACCAAAGCTCACAACTCAAGATACAGCAACTATCCCAGCTGAACCAGGCACATTTCCAGGGCAGATTTAACTCAATATCTCATGCAAAACAGAGGGAGATAAATTTCTTTTTACAGTTCACTGGGGACTGGAACCAATTTCCATTGACATTCTTTAGAGTCAGTTAAAATCCATGTTACAGAATGGGACCACTGCTCTGCAATAAACTACACCAAAAGCAAGAGAGTCATCGATCCCTTCTCCAAGTCATTTTGGGAACTAGTAAAAATCACTTCATTGCTCTAGTTGAAGATCACTGCTAAGTAGTTCTCTCTCCCTTTCCATTTTTCACCCATGTATATGTCCTTGTAAACACTTCCTAAGCTCTATATACAAAATGGATTGGGGAGGGGGTAAAGCGGAGTCAGGCCTCACTAATGCAGCAGCACCATCCACCGCAGGCAGCGGCCTCTCCTCACCCTCCTCACGCCGCACAGATGCTCCTCCTGCCAGGACGTTTGCAGGGCTGCTGGATGCACCATCGATACGAAGCTTCTGCACACGCCTGTGGTTTCTCACGTGCCACCTGCAGAGCTGCAGAAGTCCTTGTCACCCTAAGAAAGAATGAGCTGGAGTTAAGCATGTCAAAAAACCCTACATATAACGCACGTGGGTGCGAAGGAAGGGTGGTGGCACTCCACAACAACAGGAGTAACTAACAGTGAGCTACAGTTTCCTTTCCTCATATCTTCTTTTACTTGACAAAGAAGGCACCCTCCTGTTCGCAGGGTGGAGGTGTCATGATCTCAGGGGAGAACTCCTTCCACTGCAGCCACCTCCCGTAGCCCCAGTGGGACTGATCCTCCCACAGAGGAATCAGTCTCCTCCGACGCGACAGGGCATTCACTTTGTCCCAGCATTTTCCATGCCCGGGGATTTCTCCCCTTCCAGCTTGGCCACCCTGGGATGGTTCTGGAGAAACATAAACCAGCGCAGGCAGCAGCAGCCCAACCAGTGCCAGCAGCTGCATGACCTCAGAGTGAATAAATAAAGGGACCTGACCAGACCGAACATCAAAGACTTTCCATGGGCTACAGTAAGGCAGGACCAGCTCAGGTCCCGCTGCTGCCACAGGAGACAGGGCCACAACATGCAATTAATACTACAGGGAGGAAAAAACACATTATTTAATAGCACCATGATGCATTTAATGATGGCAGCACAATCCCCAGACAGGCCTTCTTACCCTTCTTATGCGAGAGTTTGCTCTGCAGAGCCAAAAAAAGAGCAGAACAACCTTCTATTTTAGCATACAAATGTCCACAAAAGCCAAAGACACATGGCAAGGACACAACTTTGCATTTTGAGTTTTGGGGCTCACTGCCCCAAACAGTTTATTCCTTGCAGAGATCTCAGTTAACAGCAAAATGCACAGTACAAGAAGGTAGGAAAGAGGTGGAAGACAAAGACAGGTTTTCTAACTAAAGAAAGATATATGTTTCTTTCTATATAGCTATATATATAGCTTTATATATAAATATATATATATGCATATAAGCTAGCAACATCTGCTCACTCCCAAGGCTTTCCCTTCAGGAAGAGCCCTTGCACGGACGTAAACTCCCAGAGCGGCACCAAGTCATTCTACTCAAAGGGGCTACAATCAAGACAAATTCATTTTTTTCCAAATTTCAATGTTTTTGTGTTTTCTCTCAGTTTTTACTGCAAAAAGACCAATGCAGCTCAATGTGATGCAATGGTCAAGACCTAGGACGAGCATTTAGAAAAGCAGGTTCTACCCCAGCTCCGCTACTCAGTAACCCAAGTCAAGCCTCCACCTCCAACATTAAAACAGAGATAAAAACATTACTTTGCATACATAGTGATGGGAGTCCCTAGCTATTACTACACACAGGAACTTTCCTGCCTTCTTGCTGAAAATAAAAAGGCAGACCTAGTGTATTTAGATTTTACAGAGACTGCAAATCTTCCGTGTGCTCCATTCCGAGCTGCAGCAGGTTAACTTGATTTCAAGCTGAATATAAAGCTATTTTTCACTTTCACTTTTTAATAAGGCTCCAGTCCTTCACAGATGGAAGATCATGAGCCAAGAAGGGAGTCAAATCTTTTTGATATTAAATGAAAAACTGTCAGTGCTGCAGCTCGTTACAAACATTTATTCAAGTTGGGACTAGTATGGAGAGTTTCAGTTCACCTTTATTAGATGCATGGCAGATGCATGGCCAATCTAGGTATGATCTCATATTTGTCATTGCTAAACCCATGCAAATTGGCAGTTTGCAGGAACTGAAACTCTCAACTTCCCTTCTTGCTGCTTTGTTTTTTAATTCAATTGTCTAAAATAACATAGCGAGCAGCTATTTACTTTCCATAAATTTATTTGTCAGCAAAGAAAGGTTTCATGAAAGAGAAAAGAGCGGTTATGTGATTGATGGGGAAGTTTTTGGAAACTGAAGGCAGGCTCTGATGTTTAAAGCCTCCTACATAACAGGAAAAGTCTCAACACTTCCAATGCAATAGTCCAGGAAGTCATCCAGGATTCAGTCTGCATACATCACCTTTCATCAATGAAAGCTTCTCCTACTGATTCTAATGCTTTTCTCTTTTACTCCACCTTTAGAACTTGGTATAAAATCCACTGAATCCACCAGAAACCACAGTCCCCGTTTCACCTTAAAACAGGAGAGAAAAGAGGCAAAATCCCAAAGGATATATGCCCCAAGCATTAACAGGATGACAACACATCCACTTATTCCCCTGTAGCCTGTTCCTGCCCTGAAGAGTGACACAGGACTCAAAAGTTGTGCTCTTCTGGGACAGTCTTGTTTTATACCTTAGAATCAAAAGACTGAGAACCCAAATGGCTACAGAGAAGGAAAAAGGTGCTCTTGAAAAAGGGTGTTAACCAACCTTGTAGTAAAAAGCAAAATGTTCACAATCAGTGTCATAGAGCCTTTTCCTGAAACTTTTAGGGTGATGTTTCCAAGAGATACAAATGCTTTAATATGTTCCGCACAGCTGAAGGCAGCCCATTTTCCTACCTTTCTGTGAATAAAGGCACCAAGTGAGACACCCAAGAAACCCCTATCTGTTCATGATACCAGTGCTTAATTCCACAAATCCTGACCAAGGAGACCTTTCTTTTGCTTAGAAATGCAACTCAGGCCAGTTTACCAATTTCAATTAAAGGAAAGATAAATATTTCCCTTTGCTGCCTGAAGCAGCACCAGAACTAGGGACTGGCATGTGCCAAGGCCTCCCTCTGCTCTCCCCAGTTTATGTAACTAACGCAGCAGTGTGAGCAGCCTTGCAGACTGCTATAGGATACGCAGCACTCTGCATATTATCCAGTAAGCACCCATCTATATGCAAACCTTTAGGAGGAAGGAGGTGTGAACACATGAGTGTTTGTGTTTGCATGTCTCACTGAAGAACTCGTTTCAGACTCCAGGGACTACTGCAACAAAATTAGCACTACCACATCTCACCAGCAGGACTGCACAAATAAAAGCTTGTTTTTAGGGAAGAGATGGCTGATTCCTGTGAAGATAACATGTTGTTTTTTTCTAACTTTCAGCCACACCAAGCACTGAGAAAGAATCTCTACCCTTGTGCCAGGGAAGGGGGGAGGCAAAACAGTGTTTCTGGATGACTAACACAGCCAGCAGCGCTCGCCGCTCCGCAGCTCGGCCCTGTGCTGCAGTGGGAGTTGCACAAGACTACTTTGAAGAGGTTAACGCGCTCAGGGAGGCAGTTTTTTCCCATGTTCTCAAAGGGTCGCAGGCAGCTGCACTGCTCAAACCTGGCGACCCCGCCACAAACAGAGCTAAGTCACTGCAGGGAGCAAACATGTGGCTTCCATCCCATCTTAGATGCCACTGCAGTCAGCCTAGGAAACAACCAAGTCCCTACAAGATTCATCCAAATGTCTTTAATTTCAGTAGCTTCTGGCATGACTTCACGCCCACCCACAAAGCAACAACCCCTCACGTGCCAACGCTACAGGAACAGTTTAGCAGAGATGGGAGGTTGAGGGAGTCAGAAGGGAGACTGTTTCTCTGCAGCGTGCTTCAAAATGACAAAAAAGGTCTCAAAACGCCTCATGGTTCTAAGAGCTGGCCATGCCTTGCAGAT